TGCAGGCGGGATGTCACCAGCCGCTGTGCCAGTGGGCCGTGCTGAGTGCTGGTCTGCTGGTCCTGAGCCCCCTTCTTGCCCAGGAGATTGTAACAGATGTCAAGATGCTTCATGCCTCCGGGAGCAAAACACTTAAGCCGCATGGTCTTCGCGTACAGACACAACTTCAACCTGCTGTCTAAGAGGAGGGCAAACTCCGTCACGCACAAGCGTTACATCGAGGACCTGAGAGACCACCCGAGCTTCCCATTCTATTCCTCGAAGCGCGTGTCCAAAATTCGGCCTCTCCCACAGTCAGCTCGAGAAGCATGTCCTCTGGTGTGGTCTTGCCACTCACCTCAACAATCCTCGCACGAGCTTCAAGGTACGCTTACTGCACTTTCTGTCTTTCGCTTGACGGATCAAGCAATTCCCGTAGGCACGCTGTGTTCGTGAGGTTCCGTGTGGAGAACGCCACTGCGTTGGCTCCGAGCTGCGCTACCCGGACTTGGCCTACATATCCTCAAGGAAGGAAGCCAAATGCTTCATTTTCTTCTTGGCTGGTGCGGCTGTGCGGGCTACGGGTTTCGCTTAGTCGTGTTTGCCCATTGGTCTGCTTCTCAGAAGCTCTCCCCCCCGAGGAGCATCTCCTCTCCCAACAGTTAGGTCCTGTGCGTCGCAACGGGCTGCTTCTCAATGGCTCTGAAGACATATTATGCCTTTTGGGAAGTGGTACCGCGATCACACCGCAATCAAAAATAACTGCTGAAGCCAATACTGGGATGCAGCTTTCCACAAAGGGTGTCAAGTAGTGAGCACTGAGTGTTCCTTAAGCCGGGCACATATCAACACTGCGCACATTCTGACACGCAGCATGAGCCCCAGCAACTGCTCAGTTTCTTTGAACATCACAATACACTACAAGCATGTCTTTCTGTATTTCGGAAGGGCTCAAGGGGCAAGCAAGCCTGTTGATCCTCCTGTCTACAGGCGATGATGCAGAGAGTCGAGCTCCCTGCCTGTGCAACTTGTCACTTCACAAGTGCTCCCAAACCTTCTGTCCCCGGTCACTGTTGCCCCGACTGGTGAAGCATTGTACACATTTGGTCACGACGTTGCTCCAAGACTCATCTCGTACCCTCGCGGATTCAACGTCGCTCTGAAAGTTAGGAGAGCCGGATCCTCCATTGTCAGACGTGAAGTCCAGACCGTGCCGTGCCGTCCGTTTTCTCCCACCGCCAGGTAACAGCACAGCCCAGATAGCTTACATATCGTCCATCGCACGGGCCAGCAGAGTGTATTTGATGCAATGCGTACTACACGGGCTGGCACCGTGAGGGATGTGATGCAGTGAAGACCAGTCCGCAGCAGAAAATATCTGCGGTGCCCCCCAGAGGCCACCTCACTGTGTTTTGCAACAAAGCGCGACAGTACCAGGGTTCATGGCAGGGCGGGTCATGAAAGATCCCGCAAGCGTGTGGGCGTGTGGGCCACAAGCCCAGGCCAACTCAAGTATGAAAATGCATATCAATCCACACCTGCACCTGCCAAACCTGATGGATTTGCATCCTTCTCTTTTGATCACCGCCCATGCCGGTCCTGTCACCCGCGAAGACCGCGTCGGATCGATTCCGGTTGTTGTGCTGCTCAACCCAACCCTGCAGCATCAGCACAGCAGCCTTGCAAAAGCTGTGGCTCTGCTGAGGCCGTGGCCATGAACTCCAGTCCAGTGACCTGAGACGAGCCGCTCCCTAGCCACCTCCGAACTGCCGCCGAGAAGAGACATCTGAGCTCGAAACCACCATCCCGTCTAAGACAAAGCCATGCTTCGTGCCAGGAAGCCTCCACAGCTGAACTTAAGCGGCCATACTCTCTCATGCGTCATGTGCAAGGAGCAGTTCCCATGCCTCCTGATTTGCATGCGCAGGCTGGAATCTGTCCTGGGCGAGCGTCTCGAAGGAATCTCTCTCGAAGTGGCAGCTCCAGTTGCTAACGAAGCCCTTTGCATCCTTCTGATTCTGTTGCCCAGGAACGTCATGAACCTCTCCAGGAGTGGACGTGCGCCGGCCACCTGATATCAGCAAATCTTCGACGTTTGAAGTGGCCCTATGTCTAAGGATGTCTTTCTTGGACGCTGACTCTGAGAAGGTTGTGAGAGATGTTCAGTCTCTGCAAACGCCCCTGCGAGAGGACTCAACCATGGTGGTCTTTCGCAAGTCGCAGTTCCCAGCTCTGGTGGCCTCGCCTTGTTGGCATTCAAGCCACCTGCAAGGTGCTCACCGCCTTCCTGGGCAACTCACGCGTTCTCACCTCCGAGGCTTCTTGATCATGTCCTCTCTCAGCTCGTTGTCAGAGATGTCCAACTCCTTGAGAAAAGCCAGACACCACAGCAGTCTACAGCCCAGGACTCCCCAGAACACCTCCAGCTTCAAGTTGGTCGCAAGCATCCGCGCCATGCGCCTTGGAGAAAGGCATGTCCCGGTGCCTCTTCGAAGTTTTCTGGAGCCTGGACATCCTGGCCTTGCTGCAGCCGCCGTAAGATGATTCCTCGGCTGTCCAGGGCTTTGCTTTGAGTTTGCATGCTTTGCTCATCGTTGCTCATTTGCTTTCGTGGCCTTCATGCTCGCTTCTTGCAGTTGGAGCGCGTGCTGAGGCTGAGCTGCTGGACGGACACTACAGGCCTAGAACGGCTCGAATGGGATAGCAAGACGCAAGACAAGCCACCTCCTCCCACGACACACACACACACACAGAAGCGAAGAGAAGAGCTCCACTACCACTGGGAGGGGGCGCCTCAAGGCCTCGTCGAAGCGCTCCAGCCTGCCAGAACGCAGAGGAGTCTCTCTCGCACCGGAACGCGTCGTGTCCCAGAGAGACGCCCCCCCAACCAAGCACATGCCCGGTCTTCACATCGCACAGAGGCTCCAGCCTCGCAACGTCTCATTATCGCGATTCTGACCCATATGACCCATATGCCGTATACCTCCACACGGTAGGGTCCAAACCCCTCATCTCGAAGTCCACAACCTCGCAGCTCCAGCACCTTCAAGCACCTCAGGGAGACAGAGACGTTCTTTCCTTTGCAGATCTTCAGCCCATGGCCTGGCATCGTCCAGCGCTTCGCAGAAATTTCCGCGAAGGCCATCCACACCGGCGTTGTTGTCTCGGCACATGACACGACCGCAGACGCACGCAAGCAGGTGTTGAAACAACTAAAAGGGGCATCTGAGGCCTCTGCAACTCATGTCCAACACCTGGAATACCACAGACTGTGTTCAGCCAGAGGTCGAAAGTTGTTCATCCACAGGCACGCTTTAAGTCTTGCGAGATGCCTCCAGAGCCGGGCATTGACGTAGCAAGCGCCCAACCTGTGGTCGCAGATTGGCTCGCGAGCAGATGCCAGTGAGATTTCTCGCCTCGCGGAAGCCGGCAGCACCCAGCCCGACCCGTCGTAGGGACAGCCTGGAGCCCAGGCCAGAAGAAAACACCAATGCGGATCGAGCCTTGACGCGGACCCCTGTAATCCTATGTGTTCCCCTGCTCGGACCTGGCCCCCAAACCCAGTTGTGTCAAAAGGCACTTTTTGCATGTTGAACGGTCGGAAAGACATTGAAATCCACGAGCGGTCGATCGGATCAGTTTGGGGGGAATAGACATGTGATGTCAATCATTCCTGTCAAAACAAGCATTTTTGTTCGGACCATTCAGATGGATGTGGACTGAGAGCAATCAGCCGCTTGCTGCTGTGGTGCATCGGCATGCTGCAGCAGGATGATCGAGGACAGATGCATACACATGAATACGCAACGAACGTGAATAGCTAAAACCTTGGACGTAGCCTACATTGCGGCTTCTGGCAATCCGGTATGGAGCTGCCATCCAGAAGCATAGCATAGCAAAGCAGCAGTGCAGAAGCATAGCAGCTCCGACCTCGTCAAGTTGGCCACCTGCCGAAAACACTCTCGGCTCTCATCGGCTCTCGGATGCCGTGGCCAGGTCCTGCCTTGCCCAGCAACGCGGCGGCGAAGTTTGCAACACCCACATCTCCTGAGCACCGGGGAGGGGGCCGAGGCTCAGGGCACATGCCGCTTGAGCAACGCTGAGGTCACGACCGATTTCCTCTTCAGGGGTAGTGCCGGACAGGTCAATGTCTGTCAGCAGGCCCTTGGAAACGAATTCGCGGAGAGTGTCTGCAACCTGACAAAAGCGAATGCTGGTTAGGGCAACCCGAAAATGACATCCCAAGCAGCACCTCGTAGCCACTGTACCGGTCCTCCCTCTTTGGGCTTTTCAGCGTTGGCTCCAGGAGATCCTGCCGACTGCCAGGCAGAGCTGAAACGGCCGGGGCCGCAAGGCAGAAGGCGCTGCTTGGAGCTCTGCTGCGGCGCTGCTTCGCTGTTTTGCCCCGGGCCTCGGCCTCTTGAAAAGACTCCAGAGCCGCGAGGCGCTTCTGCAGCCACGCCGTTGCCATCTCGGCACCACATGGCACGACACTCCACCCCACTTCCAGGAAAACTTCCGGGTGCATCGTCGATACAGACTCTATCTAGCGACTGGACGCTACTATGTAGGCATGTGGGCGGCATTGGTTCTATTGCAGAAAAACTCCGAATTCGCAACTTGAGGTCCATAGCGGGTGTGACAAGTCCTGCAGCTTGACGAGACACTCAAGTCCTGGCATCCCTCACGGCCGATAGCTTTTGTCCACAGCGCGCCCCCTCTCGACTGACTAGCAAGTCTCGGTAGCACTGGCCGGATCTCGACAGCATGTTCTGCGCTCAAACCTCATGTCTCGTCAAACAGATACCTCTGCCAGCACGGATGGCCTGCATCTCCCCTGCAGGACCTGACCCGAATTTGCCTGCACTATCTGAAATATGAAATCACGGAGGCCCCTTTCACTTCAAGTGGTGAGAGACCTTTCAGCATTCAGCAAACAGGTTGCCTCAAGCCTCATGCAGCGGCAGATCTGCGCCTCCTCTACGGGTTGCGAAGACCCTGGCCGTGGCACCGTGGCACCGTTAGGCCTGCTGGGAAGAAAACCGCCCCGCCGACCCGACTCTCGCCCTCGCCTCCCCCCCCCCTCCCCTCCCCCCTTGGAGCGCCTGCGGGACAAACTCGTCCGCCTCTGCTCGGAGGCCGCCGCTGCCGCGCTGCACCTCGCGAAGGCAGGGGCCAAGGTAGGCCAAGCCAAGGTAGGCGACGACAGAAAGACAGCAAGACAGAAAGAGGGAGTGAGCAAAAGAGCACTGAGTCCCCCGGCTGTCATCCTGAGGAGGTACTTTGTAAGGCACTCCGTCCGCATAGCCTCGGCATCGTCTTGGCCATTGATGCTGACAATGCCTGGCATCGTCAAGGTGTGATGGCAGAAACTATTTATCCACGGAGGTGGTACACTCAAACCCAACCTCCAACAAGCTGAGATAGCAGGGAGTCCAAGACAAGATGCTGATGCAGGATGCCGTGCCACTTGCAAAGCTCCAGTGTCCACTAGATTCTCTACGGGCTGTTGTCGTGTTCAAAACAATCATCTGTTGCATGAACATGTGTCTGCAGGACACTACGTCGATCAATCTGAGGACCTCCGCGGCGCAGCCGCCATGAATGCATGCCGTGCGCTTTCCGCTTCCAACCCTTCCCCAACTAAACATTGACACGAGAGCCCTGTCATTGTGCGGGGCACACAACCATACCCCTTCGCCCTTCCCGAAAGCGCTCGATGCAAAGAGCTCACAGCTTTGCAATCGTTCAGCCCCTCAAACCTTCAAGTCGGCACGAACAGATCAAGCACCGGCAGGCCCGCGGTCACCGACGCGGATCTCACGAACGCCGGGGCACTGTCGGTTCCAGGCCTGCGCTCTCTCGGCTCCACAACTCCCTGCAAAGGCTCCAGGACTCCAGGGAGTTGTGGCGCCTCGACGGCACCCCCTGGTAGCACTCGTTCCACGAGAAGGCCGTCCTCGCCTGCAAACGCCAAGTCCGCGCCCTTGGAGTTCGCCAAGGACTGTGCTTTGTTTCGTGCCTGTGACATGGAGTCCAACAGGAACGGTGTCAGCTCTTCGTAGTGTCAGGGTGAAAACCTCGCGGAATTCAATACAGGTCTTCCACACCGGGAATCGTGCATCTGCAGTTGGCAGCAAGCCTCAGAAGCTCCAGGCGTCTCCGACGGAGTCTCCGCTTGCGTCGAAGCCAGGCTGCCTAGGGAAAGTCGCGCGTCGCTCGAGCTGCAGCTCGCCTATCCGCACTTGCTCGCACTGCCAGGGTCAGGGCCGCTCTCCCCGGATCCGGCAGCAACATCGGCCACCTGAGCAAAGTTTTCACATAAGAACAGATCGGTCAACCTTCAGTCTGCTTGGACCTCGTCTGTGTCAGGATCGCGGTGCCTTGGAAGTCTGCGAGAAATTCGTGTGCAAAGCACCCACTATACCGTGCATGCTTCAGACTTTAAACAGCTTTGTCCGGCTAAGTTCGGCCAGTCGCATGGTATGTTGCGGAAGCAGGTGCATGACGGAAGCACTGCGTGTCTTGCCTGTTCCTGGTTTGGACATAAGCACATGCCAACCAATTTTCCAGGGGAACGAGCTCTGCTTAAACTGACTGTGCAGCAATGTGCAACCGCTTGCAGCGATCACTCCCCTTGCACGTGTGGCAGGATGATCCAGTGCAAGGACGCTGTCGTTCCAATGATCCTTTTCGACTTCCTGTCAACCCGCTCCGATGCGTGCGTTGCAGAGACCGACCTTGCCCAGACCGAGAAAATCGAACCGATAACAAACAACTTACGCTGCAACGTCACCATGTTGGCCAGACAAAACGGCCAGACCTCGGCCAGAAAAAAAGAAACAACAGTCACATATGTCGGAAAAACAGGCATCCAGTGCACGGCTGTGGGACTAACAATATCTCAATGCCTAGACACGAAAGGAGAGGCGACAGGTGAAACGAAAGCACCACCCCACCAGCTGCAAGACACAGCTGATAACACTCCAGCACATGCAAGCCGTCTGAAGCTAGATCAAAGGCAAAGGTTGCAGTACAGCTGGTGATTTGCTATGATCCCGGCGCAGGTGATGCCGTTTCCAGTTCATCAAGTGCCTGCGAGGCCTGCGAGCCAGTGATCGGCAGCTGATGGTCCAGTTGACATCGCATGGCGGACAACGGCGGGGCGGGCGCCTGCGTGCCGGCGGGCTCTGACGGGGCAGAAGGCCTCAGCCTCAGAAGCGGCCCTTCGTCGAGACCAGAACCAGGCTGCGATGTCATCACACAGACCCTCAAAGCGAATAACGGCGGAGCTCCGCACAGAACGGCCAGGTGTCTCATCAGTGCCTGCGTTCTGGAAAACTGCTTGCTAGCCTTGCGGCAGTTAAGACAGGAAACATCTTGTAGCCAAATCTTTCATGCCAGTCGGCAAATCTGCGATCAACAGTGTCGGCTTCGCAAAACGCAATCCGTCCATCTTGCCAGCGACCGGTCATCTACGGCACTCGCAAACAGTGAGCAATCAACTCCGAGACTCCACGCCTCCAGATTGGCTCTAAGCATCGCATTCTCGCCTCGACTCGACCATAACTCCACTTAAGCTGACGTGTGGCACGTCTCGGCGAGCAGAAGCGACCCACCTTCTAGCCTTCGACACGACCTTAGTTCGGGCAATCAAACAAGAGCCGTCATGGTCGCAGATTCGAACTCTGAGGCTGCAACTCGGCACACCTTTGGATCTCACCTCCACGGCTCTGCTTCTCACACTCGACGATTGCAATTTAGAGATACGAGTCCCAAGCTCTGCAGTTGTTCAGTGTTGACGCTCTGCTGTTGCTGCATGTACCTCCCCATCCCACGCACGGCCCTCTCAGACGCCGGTCAGCAAGAAGAGGATACATTTGCACTCACATCTTATGGGAGCACGTTACAGCTTTCTGGCCCCTCTTGTAGAGCGCATCGACCTTGCTCGAGATCATGTCAGGCATTCATCAACAGCGTCAACTGCTCACTGATCTGAGGGCGGCGCGGTGGCCTGCGTCGTCGACTCTAGGTGGCGCATGCACGTTTCTGTCACCCTCTCTGTCACCTTCCACGAAGGTGCAGCAGGACCAGACTTTACCCTATACGCATTGCAGCCTCTTTCACTATGCTTTCTCGCAGTTCCTGACCAGCGAGCGCGGCAGGTATAGGTCTGCTACTTCTGCCCTTGTGAAAAAAACTTCGACTGCATGCAAGCCTTGACCACATCGATGTCCAGAGCTTGGTGGCTCTGTCCCTGTCCAGATATATGCTTTGCGACGATGCACGCTACACTGGAGGCAGTCTTGAATGGTGCCTCCAAGCCAGGAGGAGCCTGCACTTTTGCCTGTGACATGCTTCAGAGCAGCTAGCGGTTCTACCCCTTCCACAGGCAGTGCTTTGAGCCCAGCGGCACTTCAAATGGCAGTGAACTTGGCTTGGATGGACCATAGCAAAGCCCAGGCATATGAACAGAAATCGACTGATGTCGACCGGGCTCTTTTGTACGTCTCGCTACAGCCCTGTTTGCAGCGGTGGAGCGGCTGGAGCATTGCCCTGCAGAGCAGGAAGGCCTCAGAGGAGTATATATAACAGTATATACCACTTTTGCCCGGCAGCCGAAGCGGATGAAATGACAGGATATCAAGCCGCCTCAGTGCAATGGTCTGACCTGGGCAAGCGTTTTTCGGCAGCATCCTGCACGTCAAAGAGATTCGCCGACAATCGCCGACATGGGGATATGAGGGTTGCCTCCCAGAACTGGATGAACCAGCTTGGGGAAAGGGTCCAACTCATGCCAAGATTCAAGATGGAACTGCTGGATGACGCAACTTCGTTGCTCGCCGAGACAAGGAAGCAGCTCGAAGCCGGGGAAGGGAGATACGAACCAATTGCCAAAGCAGGGTCTCTCCACCCTCGCCGACTTGCAAAAATGCCTTGACGAGTGAGTGATTCATTCATCAATTCAGTGATGCAAAAATTGAGTGATTCATGAGTTGGCGGCCAAGGCTGCAAGGAGGCCCGACATCAAGACCTTTGCTGCTACGTGCCGCCGGTGGCCCGTGTTGCTAACGTGGCCCGCGGCTTCTGTCGTCCCGTCTGTCGTCCCGGCCTGTGTCGTTCCGGCCTGTGTCGTCGTGGTATCGCCCCAAACCGCCGAGCAGGCTGCACTGTCTCCAGAGCAGGACAGCTCCGTGTCATAGGTGTACGCACTCGTTGAGGGACCGTTGTGGCAAAGCAGATCCGCGTTGGTCTGGAACCCGGAGGAGGCACCGGAGAAACCAAGGTCGGCGGCGGTGAAACCCCACGTGCTTGACATCACGTCGGGTAGGTTCTGCCCGTAGTAGCTCTTCCCGGTATTCTCGCGAATGCCTTCGGCGTTAGCTGCAGGAAAGCCGTAGAAGGTGCTGCGCCTGGCTGCATTCTTCCGCATCCACCAACGCATGCTACGGTCCACGTTTGCATGATGGAACATGAAGAGGGGATCGTTCGGCGATGTGATCGGGTCCTCGAAGTCGCCGCTGTTGCCGCCCGAGCTGCTGCCCACCTGCCCGTGCGGTCCTCCGTGGAGGCTTCCGCTGACAGTCGCATCACCCTCGACGCACTTGTACCAGTCATACCAAAACCCGTCCAAGTTCGCGCAGATCCAGAATTCGTTGGCGTCGTACGAATAACTGCCCGAGCCGAAACGTGTCATCATGGCATTCGCGTTGTTGTTGGTGGGCCCTCTCAGCATTCCGATGGGCGAGCCAGTGTATGGAGAGCTGCCGGCGGGGTTGTAGTCTGACAAGGCAAAGCCCGTCTTGATCCACCAGTTCGGGAAGGCACCGTCGACAACTTGAGAGTTGGACCCTGTGCCAGGAGCACTTCCGAAGTAGGTCTCCGAGAAGATGGACGGAGAGGTCACTGTTGAGTCCCAGTATGGCAATGCACCAATCGTGCTGTCCACACTCAGAAGCGCATTCTCGAATTCCAAGATGAAAGCGCTGTGCCAAGTCATGAACTGAGGGCCGAAGTGAGCCTGGTCGCCACGAACATCAGAATACGCCGCGGCATGTTTGGTCGGGAAGTAGTCATAGGTACGGAATGCCTGGCCATATGTTGCGACACCGGCCGTCTGCGTCGTGTTCTTCATGACCCACATGGCATCCGTCACCTTCTTCCATTCTGCTGCGCTCAGCGTTCGCAACTCCTTGCGCACTCGTTGTGTGCTTTGATCAACCGCTGGTGCATTGCACGTAGGGCATTGCACCACCGTCGACGCGTTGGCAGGCACGCTGATGCGGAACAGGAGCTTGTTGTCCCGCTCCAAGTCGGAGGACCAGATCATTTTCGACCTCGTCTCTGACAAGAAGGCCATCGGATCCAAGCACTCAGTCTCCGCTACTGTAACAGAAACACCGGCCGGGTCGGTGCTGTCGTAATTGACGGAGCAGCCGCCATTGTTGGTCAGCGTTTCCTGGGTTGCCGGGCTTGTGGCCGTACCGCAGCAATTCCTGCTCGCATCCCAAGTGGGGGTCCTCCCCCAACCCGCCTGCGCAGCGGTGTATTCAGTCGCTGACACCCAACCACCGCTGGCCTGGTAGCCGCCAGCCATCCATCCTGCAGGCTCTGCCGACGAAGTGACCGCACATGGTGCTAGATTGCTGCTGCTGCAACCTGCCGCAATGGACGCGTCGGTAGGCCCGTGCGTCAGCACGAAGACATCCCAGGCAGCGCCAGTCACAGTGCCATCCGAAAACTCCGCCATGAGCGACCCGTCGCCAAGTCCCGGGTTCGAGGTCTCGACATACTCGTACCCGGAGCTGCTAGCGTAGTCCATGCACATAATCGCATATTCCTTGTCGGAAACACCGTCCCATTCGAAGGAGACTGCAACCGCGTTGTGCGGCGTGAATGTCATCGGGTCCTGCTTCACGAGAACTCCATTGAACCAAAACTCAAAGTAGTTGTCGCAGTAGATGTAGCCAGTGATGGTCTGCGGGCCGGTCACGCTTGTCCTGCACTCCACGTCGGCATTGATGGTGATGTGCGGCTCCGTCAACGCTGTCCCGCCTCCGCCCCCTCCTCCACCTGCTCCACCGGCACCGCCGGCTCCACCTCCGCCTCCACCTGCTCCACCGGCGCCGCCACCGCCGCCACCGCCGCCTGGGCCACCGCCGCCTTGTCCCGCTGCACCGGGCAGAAGTGCCACGGCCACCAACAAGAACAGCACCGAGCACCGATGTTGGATCATTGCAGGAAGGGAGACGAGAGGTGACAGTGCTATCACTCGAGTCTGGGAAGACAAGGCCGCGAGTTGTGGATCACAAGTTGCATGAGAGAATCACTGATCAGGTCTTCACGTCTGTACGATCTCACTCATTCTTTGTGACATCGGCTTTGTGTGCATGTCTAGGCCCCGCTCGAGAGAAGTGGATGCTCTGCAAGCTATTGCATTGTGCTGTGCCTTGCGCAACAGCGATCGCCACCTTGAGGACTGGGCCGACTGGGCAGCCGGGCGGGCCTCGGTTTCGCGCCGCCATGACGGCAAGAGAGGGAGGACAGTGAACAGCACAGCATCCGAGAGAACATTCCGGAATCTTGGGATGTACCACCCGCTCCCTGAGAAACCCTCGCCACCCTTTCGGAACAAGTACACAAAGGAAAAAATGGCCCTGCCATGCCCTACACCGGCATAGTCAGGGCTAAGCACCTGCAGCTCGACGAGGAAGGGCTGGAGCTCCTGATGTTTGATGCGCACGCTCTTCTGAAACGACCTTATGCACTTATGCGCCAGTTCTGTTATAAGCTGCTGGTTCGAAACCTGCACCATGGCTCGCTATACAGTGGACGTGCATCCGGAGTAGGCAGCTACAGGAGCTTCTTTCTCTGTCTCCCTGACTTCTCACTCCCTCTCAACAAACCACACAACCTGACAAAAGGTCCCCTTGCACACTCCAATGCCCTTTTACACTAGTGTGATGTGTCATTCCACGTCAAGGCGACGGTTCAGTAGCTTCTCTAGAACTACCGCATGCACAAAGTCCTAGCCTTCAGGACCTGCAGAGGCGTTTGATCTTGAGCTGGCGCAAGGTCTCAAGAAGGGTTCCGAGCCTGAGAGCTTCGTGAGAGCTTGGCGAAGCTTCGTGAGGGACAAGACTTCAGGCTCTACTTCGCTTTGCCGCGTTCCAGGGAAGGCTCGGCTACATCAGCACGTCGGCTTATCTTCGAATGAACATGAGTGAACATTTTCTCCTGAGGTCGATGCCAACAAATTTGATGACCAGTGATGATTGAGATCGCCGTCCTTTTCACCTCCAAAATATCTTCCTCCACATCGTCGGTGGCTTGCTGAAGCATCTTCGCCTCGAAACAGCTCTGTTGATTCGTGCCGTGAGCTTTGCACCATAGAGATCTGTGATCAAAGAACCGCGCTGCTTCTTATATTTGCAGTGCGGACCAGCACAAACATGGTAAGCGTCGTAAGCGCTCTTCCCAGAGAGTTGAGTCATCCGTTTCTGGAATCGGGCGGTGACAGGCGATGACGACGCACTGGAGCCACCCTCATTGCCTGCTCCACCGGCTTTCAGTTCATTTCTCCTGCCTGTCCGCCCACATTTCCCGAGTCGAGTCCAACTGCGAAGTCAGACGTGGGCGGTTGCAACGACTCTGCGGCAGCTGTCCCGCGCACTGCAGGCACATCTTGCACCGAGGCTGTGAGGATATCTTGCAGCAGTCCTGTGCTGTCGGTTCAGCTGGTCATTAACCGACAGCGCTTACAGGGACCAGGCTTCAGCGTATGCAGAAAAGAGCTGGTAATCTCTGCCTCTCTTCGTGGCACAATACCGAGACATCGTTCTGCTTTTGATGCACCAGCTGTCGTATCCGCTTCGCAGAGCCAGGCGACATGACCTGGCAGTTGCCAGATTTTGCAATCTGCCAGCGAGTTTGTCAGCTTCGTCTGTTTGAAGGCAGCGCCGCAGATCTCCCACGAGCAGGTCCGTGTCCCAACAGGAGACTCCCTGGGATGTCTTGGAGAGACAACGGCAAAGAGAAACAAGGTCTGCCTCAGACAGCTCGCCATCGACAGCCTGGGCAAGCACTTCTTGATCCAGTGCGGTGTCGTGCTCACCTAAGCGACAGTAGCACGGAAGTCCAGACGCCAGGATGTCCAAATTCAATTTCAAACACTGCAAAACAAACTCATCAGTGTGTTCTTCAGCATCAGAATCATTGCCAGCTGCTCCGATGTGCAGATGCAGCATCTCGTGTAGCATGGTGGCGCAAAGGTCCCGCTTTGTGAAATGGACCAAAGGATCCAAGACAATCCTCTTAGTGCTTGGATGCGCCCCACCGGCACCGCCGAAGCGCAAGTGCCAGGTCTCGTCCAAGTCCACCTTCGCCTCAAGGGCTCCGCCGAAGAATTCAACGTTCGCCTCCTCGAAGGCCCTTGCCAACCATGCGAGCAACTCCTCCTTCTTCTTTGCATCGAGGTCGAGCGGCTGGTGGAGAATGGCCATGGAGAGAGCAGGAAGTGGTTGCTTCTCTGCCCGTGCGCGCACTCGCATTCTAGTGCCTCGGTTGCGTCGAAGACGCCCTGCAGGTCTCGGAGCACAGCATGCGTAAACCGCGATAGCTCCCCAAGGTATGCTCCAGCCCCTTGAAAAAGCGAGGGCGTCGGCAAAAAAGTGAGTTCTGGCGCCGCCACGATGTGCCACTGCATGAGTTGGCGAACATGGCAGGGACAAAAAATTGGGCATCTTCACGGGGCAGAACATACTTTAGGCTTGAGGCCGAAGACAGAACGACGACTGTAGTTGCCTGGACACATCAATTGCAGTTACAACGGCGCTCGCTCTTTTCTAAACGCTATTCCTTCCAGATCTCGTCAACTGCCGCATCTTCATGGAAGCAGCAGACCTTGCGCTGTGAGCAACGCGTTGTTCTGCAGTACGTGCTGTATTTCGTCCTTGTCTGCTGCTCTCCTGTGCCAGGAGAACCAAAGCCAAAAGTCCTTTGGGAATCTCGGGCACCGGCGTGCACGTCCGAGGGAGAAGCGGCCTGGGGCAACTCAGCTTATGCTTGGAAACCCTCCTTTTCACGACATGTCTTGGCTTGTTTTCTTCTCCACAATATAAAAATTTAGAGATTGGGACGTCCCACAGCTCCGGAGCCCCCTCCCCGCCGGGACGCGGCGGCTCCGGAGCCTGGAGCCGAGTCGCGCGTGTGGTCCACCCCGCCCCCGGGCCCCACCCACAGGACCGCGTCCTGCACCCACCACCCGGCCGCAGCGAAATCTCTCTGGGAAGAGCTCTCTAACATGGCCCAGCTGAGACGTGCATCTAACCACATACATCTCTTGAAGGCAACGTTGCCTTAGCAAGGGCAAAGCGAATCAACTCCAGTGCAGGTAAGCCACATTGCTGTACAGGCTGTCATACATGGCCGCGAATCCATCCACGCTATTGACATGCTTGACCTGGGAAGGCAGCAGCGATGCTGAAAAACAGACGTCTGGACACATCCGCACACTGGTGCATGCGCACAAATGACCAAACCTACTAACGGATCTACTACTCCTCGTGTGCGCTCTTGGCTCTTCAGAGAATCAAGCAAGACCAAGCACATCGGATTCTGAGCAGGCTACTGCAATGATCTTCTTCATGCGGTCAATGAAAGCCTGCAGCATTGGAATGATAACACAAAGGAAGTGCCAGCCTTGCATCTTCATAGTGCGGCGCCTGGTAGGAATGCTTGAGTTTCTCATTCCGTCCGGTCTTCGTGACCTGCATCGCGAATCTCCAGCACGGCTGATTGCTACAGGAGTCTGACACCAGACATTGAATTCAACTCATATGGGGTAGTAGAACATGACTCCAGCTAGGGATGGCAGAACTCAATGCCATCAACCATACCACCTAGACTCAGATTTTGAGATACACAGGAGACTGTACAGTCAATCTACGATACACGAGTCTGGAGCATGTGCCGATCCGCCGGGCCTCGGCCACCATGCGACGTCGCTCGCGCCAGGAAGATTCGTCGAAGAGAACTTCCCGAGCACGCTTCTCAAAGACCTGATCCTGCTCTGATTCGGATGGGCAGAAAGCCAATGACCTCGAAAGCCAGCGAAAGTCACTGCTGTGCCTTCATCTTCTTCTGGAAGACAGCTGGACCGATCACCTCACAGACCGATGATGCTGATGCTCACATCTTCCTGCGACCGAAAGATGTGCCACAGGCCAGGGCCATGTTGTACATCAGGTTCGTTCCCATCCTGTAAGCTTGGAGACCGAAGCAGAAGCACTCTTCGCATGCGAAGCCCGCAGCCCGATGGAGCACCTGAGAGTAATTTGTTGGCGGAGCTCGCCATCGCACTTGAAGTCCATGTACACCTGCATGAAGCGTGCTGTGACACGTGTGCTCCCTTGGCTCGGCCCAGAGCCCGGCCACGGTGTGAGTGTTTGGAAGTGAATCCACATCATCGTACGTAAAGACCTGCAACACATTGGACCACGTTCGCGGCTTTGCTAAGACGGACTACACTGCACAACTGTGGGGCGGCACCTCGTGGTAGAGATCCGTGGATCGCGCAAACTCGAGATGCTCCTCAGGCAGCTAAGTGTCAGTCTGCAGCCATGGCCTCAAAGGAATAAGCAGGGTCCTTGGAAGTCAGTCCGAAGACATACCTCCACACAGACGGATTCGACGAACAGTCGTTCAATTTGAGAAGGCATGGGGAAGGAAGTCGCAGTCGCCTCATGTCTCTCATCCGAAGACAGAAGGCCAAAGCGAGCGCGGTCTTCGCAGAGGCGCAGGAGATCAGCACACAGCTGATCATCCTCAGACCAATGTCACACCGGGCCCGCCGCATAAGCTCCGACTGTATGGGACTCATGTACCGGACTCAGCTTGCTGTGAATGCGAGGGGCCCAGTATCCACCAAGAGCTGCTCATCCATGTAATATGCCATAGTGTAGATTTCCTGCAAAGCCACAAGATGAGGATCCGAACTCCAGGAGAGGCCCCTGCCGGGCCCCTGCCTTGGTCGCCACGATCCAGTCCTCTGCACGACCCAACACAGAAGCAGAAACACGGCGCACTCGTGTAAGGCTCCTCCAGGTGCGGCTCCAGGCCCTCAGAAACCTCGAGTCAAACGCAGCGAGCAGTGCAGGACAACGGCTGGCAAGACAGCAGAGCACGGAATCAGCCGAAAGAATTTCATTTGCCTCCATTTCTTGGAAGCGCCGCAAGTTGAAGGGTATCTCTTCCATGGCAAGTTCCACCTGGCTGACTTGTCTGCTACGTCAGCTGCGGCTGGGTAAGGTTGGGTCGCGTGCCATTGCAGGCTCTCCTTTCTTTCCCGGTGGAATCGTGCCACCTCCGCGAGCAGTCCCAATTGCGTCGCAAAACCCAAAACGTGGCTTCTGAGGCTCAGGCCGACAGGCTGAACCTGGTACCTTCCGTCGCTACAGTTCTTGGTAGGCTCTTTGGATCTCCGAAGGGCGCCTTGCCGGCGGCACGAGGCCGTAGAGCCTCGTTCCAACAGCCACCTGACCACCGCGTCTTGCAGAAAGCCACATGTCTGGCTGCTGCGGATACTGGCGACATGGGCACATGACATTGAACACACGAGCTGTTTTTTTTACAGCCTCTCAGACGTTCCAGTCTGGCCGCGCCGCGAATTTTTCCATTCGCAGGTTAGACATTATCGAGCTGCTCGATGCAGCGAGCCGACACGAGACGCAACAATGCAACTCGTCGGTTGATTTCATAGTTGCCAGCCATGACCACCGCTGAATCCAGATTCATGCGACTCGCTGCACCAAGTGCAAACCTTGGTGTGAGGCTACGATATCACTCCACTGACCGGGCTGCAAGATGTCGCACACCTGCACATTGCACATGAGAACGGCAGCGCGACGCTACACCATCGAGACAGTAGCGAGATACGAGCCTCCTTGAAGTGCTCGCTCATCGCAGCCCGAGCCTTGTAAGAAGGCAGTTCAGCATGCAGGCTCCAGGCCCCAGCTCCACCAGCTGAGCTTGGTGCGAAGTCGCGATCGAGAGAACCACACACCCGACTACCCCGATTTAAACCCAGAGAGGACAGAGCCGACAAGCCCACGCCTCTGGAGCGACCCAGCCGAGGTCACCACAAGCCAGAGCCCCCTGCCGAAGCTGCACCAATACGAAGCTCAGAGCGTCGCGGCCCCTTGTCGCTGGCGGAGAAACCCACCTGCCTTCTGCGCAGTTTCACAGTCGGAGAGCTTTCGGCAAAGCTCTATGAACTTCTTAGAGCTCAATGATATGAGCTCCGTCACCTGAGCTGCACAGTTTACAAAGAAGTGCGTTTCGAGCACACGGCAGAGCTCCTCCAGTCAGAGAACAGCCACTACACTCTCATGGCACTGAAATACGAGATGCACCTCCTCTCCGCATCAAACACACATGAGGTCTGAGCATCTTTTGGTGTCTTTGTCCAGGACTTCCTTGGCTGCGCGCAAGGGCAGCAGGATGCCCTCAGAGCCCGCAACAACACCACAGCGATACCAAGGAAGGGGCCGATCCTGCCGTATCTCCGAAATTGCGCCGCGAAGGAGGCGCTCCGCCTCTGCCCTCGTCCGGGAGGCCCAAGGGGCCTTGAGACAGAGACAGTGAAATCCACACAAAACGCGATCGCTCTCGCGATGTTCCCTCTGTGGCCTTGGGATCCTCGGCCGGCTTGGTGCCTTCATGGAACTTCACCTGAGAGGAAAGGGAATTGGGGGGAAGGAAGCGGAAAGAGAAGCGTCACGTACGTCTCTGACTGCAAGCGGCTTCCACGCTGTTGGTCTAACATCTCTACAGCAAAAGTGTGCTCACACACCAGGAAGGTATTGTCTTGTTTTCTTCACCAGCAAAGGCTACCGAAAAAGCAAAAAGAATGACTGCGTAGGTGCGTGGCCAGGATATGCCTGAGCCGCATACTCTGCGTGGCCTGGGCTCTGCTCTGCATGAAGCTCCCGACACTCATAACGGCTGCTTCCCACTACAAGCCGAACTCTGAGCCTGCGGGCTTTGACTAATATGAGCTCAGAGGCCACTCCTGAAGGCCCGCTTAGGCCAACCTTCGCCTTTTTGGCGGGCGGGGGATGTCCCTGCACAGAGATTCTGCCACAGCCCCTGCGAAGTAATCTCTGTGACTCTATGCACTAGCTGTGCCTCAGCCTGCAGGGAGGGCTCCGGCAGGAAGTTCACCTGCAAAGTTGGGTGCCAGAGGCTCACACGATAAAAGAGGTCTGAAGGCGAATCTGAGCTTTGGGGCTCTTCCACCTGCACTGCCGTGCATGGCGACTTCGCCAATTCTGAGGCGCGCGAAGCAACCTCCCCGCAAAAGGCCCGCGGCCTCAAGCGAGATTGCATCACACTCCTCAGCACGCTGAATCCAGCTGAGTCCCGGTCTGCACGGAAAAGTCCTCTGCGAGAGCGAGTAGTTCTGCAGCTTTCAGGGGAATCGCCGAAGATGACAACACCAGAAACCTTGGATGTGTGTTTCACTTAGAGTTAAAGCTCACTGCTTTCAGAGGATCTCTCAACTCCATTGCCTTTCAGCTACCGGCCATACCCCTCACTGCACCGCAATCAAGCCGCGGATGTCGCTCGGGGCTCTCCAAGTACACCGTCTGCACCTCATTGCTTGCAACTAGTTGCAAGCATGTCAGATCGTCGTGATCACGAGCAAGGAGAGTGCGCTCACTGGTGTCCGACAAGACATGCATACACAATCATGCACGCAATGCACTTGAATCTAGTCTTGAGGCTCCTTTGCGAGGATTCTGCATTGTGTTTCGGCGATCACTCATTCAGGAGCATGACATCTGGAGAAGATGTCACCACAGCTCCTCCGACACCACCAGCTCTGGCTCCTGGCCGATTCCAACGCTCGGCGAATTGAAATGACTCGAGACTTCAACGAGGCTCGTCCTTTCCCAAGTCTCACTGCCACCCGTTTGCCGTCATCAGTGACCTGCGACCAAACAGCGCGAGGCAAACTGCGCCCAAGTCCGGAAAGCCACAAGCAAGGCTTGGTTCACTGCCATTAGCTCACAGGCATAAGTCCAACCTGCAGTATACGTGATGTGATACAGGCATCTGACCCACCCAGACCCAAGTCTCCGCTCAGTGCCCACCCGGAAGATCTTGAGATTCGTGCCGATGGGCCGATGGTGCCGATCAAGCAAAAAGACGTTGCGGGGGGCTTGCAGGCCCTGTGTCTGCACAAACCCGAAAACACTGCTTTCCTTGGACTAGCTGCCGACCTGCGCACTGTATCAAGCAAAAACGTCAAACTCGAATCCGGTTAAGGCGTTCTACGGGGTCCCAACCTCACACAGCACCGCTGTACACCGCCCCATGAAGGCGACAAAGAGATGATCCTGATGCATGCAGACGTAAGAGTTTCCAGTGTTTCAGTGGCTGCAACCCAATGTTGTCGTCCGCTTCCGGTCCCGCACGAGCAGTGCCACTGCTGCGCCACATCCGTCGGCAATCTCCGGGTTCCTGTCACCACGAGAAAACTCCGAGCACACATAAGCCAGGCACCAGGCTTGTTGCTCCCAGAGCAGTAGCCTTATCAGGAGCTCTTGATCGAGGGTTTCCAAGCTTTTCGCCACCGCCTTAGCTAACTTCGCAGGCCTGTTGTCCTTGCCATTCCCTCAGGCGTATGTCATTGTGCATCCGAGTCCGCCACAGTCTGAACAGACGCCGCAGATGGAGTGCCAGCCCTCACAAAGAGCTTCTTTCTCAAGTCTCAAGCATTGGCACGGCGACACAGAAAACTCGCTGTCGGGGGCCTCAACTCCGATAGTGAGTTCAGAAGCGCTATGTGGAAGTTCAGTGCGCAGAACCTCAGAGCAAGTGTGTTCTGTCAATGTACCGGCACGGCATCATGTGGCCATCCTTGCTCCGACGATGGACCCGCAGGAGGGTCAGCCATGAGCGTACCTGAGTCCTGAGGCTTAGCAGCCGTGCGCTGGTCTGGCCAGCGCCCGCGTAGCTGGCTTGATGGGTTGGCAATGGTTGGCTCTGGCACTGTCGCCTGCACTCCCTCTGAAAACATGGAAAACTGCTTGCCACTTGAATATCGTGGGTGTCGGGCAAGTGCCAGAGAGGAGCTCAGCGGACGCAGGTCCAGCAACTCCAACTCCGGCTCTGGACAGGCCGTCGAACACGCAGTACAAGCCCATGGGTGGCTTCCTGCAGCGCTGTGACACGTCAAGAAGCATCGAAGGCAAATTGCAACATCGGGTCGCAGCCAAGCTTCCTCTCGAAAAGACCCGTCGTTGGAACCTCGTACTTGAGCTGCGCCGCGACCTTCAGCTCTCAACGTCGCAACGCTTCGCTGCGTGAAGAAGTCTCGGCGAACGTAGTAGCTGACTTCTGGGGCCTTGTTGAGATCCTTCACGATCACATGACGCAGCACCGGCTTCTGCTTGGGATCCGCGGACCCTTGACTGAAGGCAGGGTGACTACAAGTTTCCACATTTTCAATAAGATTCCGAAGTCTTGCAACTGCTCAAGATGGCGAAGGAGGTTTGGCATCGCTTCAGTTGAGCTCGATGCAAGCCGAACTGAGCTGAAAAAAGGATGGTTGAAACACACCTAGGCTTTTCAGCAAGCAGGTGCAGCCAGTTTACATCCAGTTTCGGCAGCCCAGCCTCTGACATACACTCCGTCAACAAGCACGTTTGGTGGCCGGGCAGGTTTGTGCTCCTTCTCGGCTTTCTCCCGCTTCGCCAGAACTGCTTCCAGCTGCATCGGCATAGTGGCCTGCACTCCGCTGCTTGGAGCAGAGCGGCTGGCACGTATTATCACAAGACTCGATTTTGCAAGGAGTCCTGTATGGCTCCTCTGTGCGAAGTGTTGCCTTGCCTGAGGTGGTGTCACAGTATCAGCTTTGCACAAACGGTGAGTCTCTCTCCGCCTTCGCCTTGCAGTCTGCTCTGCTTGGTCTGCTGGTTTGACTATGGGGATGTCGAGTACTTTAAAGCTTTACCAGTGGCTTCACAGGTGTCACGTTGTCTGCTGCAAAGACTTTGGCACGCAACTCCCGACCAGCCGACAACACACCGTTATCAATTAATAATCCACGCTTGACCGCTGGGCTCGCACAACTGTCAGCAGAACTTGTTGGACAACAGGAGAGTGAGTCAGCGGCAGTCCCTTGAAGAAGGTGCCAGCAGTCCCCATAGTCTTGGCGGCAATGCCCTGCCAGGTCAATGCTGTCTGGTGCGTTGAAGCTTGAGGAAATGGCGAAATGAGCACTACAAGTAGCAATGCTCATGCAGCCACGATGTTAGACCCAGCCTCTTTGTCTGCCGCCATCGGTGGCAAGGAACACGGAATCAGCAACGGCCCACAGGGGCCATGTCACGAAGCGGTAAACCTTCCCTTTGCGAATCCTTCAGCTAAACCCTTGAGGCTGTAGCTGAGCGCCAGAAACAGTTGCGATTGTTGTGCTTGGCTTAACAAAACTGACGAAACATACTACTGGCGTGTAGGACATGCTCAAGTGTGCAGTTGAGTATATCGGAGTATATCGTAGTTGCAGTAATCTGCAGTGATCTGCTGTGCTGCTTGTTCTGCCCTTGTACAGGCCAGAAGCTGGCAGCAAGGAAGGCGTAGAGCACATCCGAAGACAACGCCGAAAAAAGCCTTGCTTTCTCTACACAGCAGCAGTCATGGGCCCTGTTCTAGGAAGGTCCTCTCTGTGGGCCTACCTTCGGGTGAGTGGACTCCATCACCGTCATGAAGCCCCAGCAGGCAGAGCGGTACACATTCTCCTTGCTTTGCAGCGGTGACACATGCACATCCCACAACTCACCTTGATCAAATGGCCTCTTGGCATTTGTAGAAGTTGTGATAGGCACCGAAAGTTCGTGTGAAGCCTGCCCCAGTCTACGACAGTAGCCATATGAAGGTTACATGGCTCTCAGCAAGCAAGGCCTTTCATCAGGTATCCCAACGCCATGTGGCTAAATGCAAACTTGTCTACCTCAGCTGCCATTGATGTCGCTTATAGTCTCGCTCGAAAGTGCATTGTGGCGCAAGCCCGAAGTAGCACTTCCCCTTGCCCCAAATCCGGCACCTGCAAAACAAGAAGCAGCTTCAACTGTCAAGACAGAGTTGGATGGTTCAGAGCTGATGCACCGGCTCTTGCAGTTTCCCATCATTTCTTTTGCCTGGCTCCCTGGTCTGTGTCAAAACACCATCAATGCTTGCTGTGGCAAACTTCGAATTGTCAGTCCAGGCGTTTGGGGAACTGGCCGCCTAGCTAGCGTCTTTCTTCGAACCGCACTTCGCCCCACAACGCCAAAAGAAGCTGCTGCATGTTCTGCGAGTAAACCGGTACATGACAATGCTTGAAGTGGCCACACCTGCACGATGCAAGCAAAGGTAGCGGTGTCCTGCCGATATATACAAACGGGCAAGATTGTCCGACGCTGCTGAGAGCAAGAAAAACGAGTAAGGGCCCAGGATGGAATGCCGTGGTGTGGACGGCTTGGCCGTGGTGAAACCCCCAAAAAAAATTCGTCCGCATGGCGGATGCAGTGCAGCGGAGCTTGCACACTCACCGTTGCCAGGCCTTGGAGCAGCTTGCAGAGCAGCTTGCAGAGCAGGAATCACAAACAGCCCGTCCTATCGTCTCCTCCATTGCAAGACGACTTTATGCGAAGAGAGTGCCCCAAGGCTGGCGCGTCAGGCCGCAATGTCATGACCTGAAAGGCCCAGGTCTTACAGCAAACGCCGAAACGCCACAGACTTCTAATCTTTCTACGTCGGAAAAAGACGTCATTTCAAAAAATTAGCTTCTCCCCATTTCTCCCCCATAAATTACTCCGGAGTCCCACATGTCACGATTATGGTTTGGCTTGGCTTGAGGATGCCTTAGGCATGGTTGGTCTTGGTTAGGTTGGGGTCATGCAAGGTCATGCAGAAAATGCTACGGGGGAACACGATCCGATCCAGGAATTGGCACGTGAAGACCTGACCGCTCAGCAGTAGAAATCGACGTCGAAGGATCCTACATATAAATATATATATATATATATATATATACATACATACATATAATATATACTTATATATGATGTCGTAGTGCTGGAACCCATGGTCGTAGCCAGTACATGTCGAAGGGTTCTGTCGACGAGGTCAACCGACGTGTGGAAAGACTACAGTATTTGAACACATCAGCAGTCGTTCGGTGAACTTGAGGAGCCGACATGTAAGGGGAGTGCAGAAAACGAGCGAATGCGAACGCAGGAACAAGTCGCGCATGAGATGTACCCAGTGATTCCAGGAAAGCACACAGACCGGGAACCCTGGAGCCAGAGACCCAGAAAACAAGTTGCATCACCGTGGCATCCCTAAATTAGAGGTATCAACGTATCAAAATCAAAAGCAGTGGGTCATTCTGCATTCCACTATTCGCAGAACTGAGCTGGACACCTTCTGCCGCAACATCCATGAGCGTGCGATGCCCCATGTGGCAAGCCAGCTCGATAAGTGCCTTCTGTTTTCAAGCAGCGCTCACACGGTCGACGCTGCTGTCTGAGGGCGCAGCTTGAGGGGCGCCTTTCAAGCGCGCCACAGCCGGATGCGACGCTATTAATTCAAGGACCTGGCATGGCGGAGAGTTGCGCCTGACTATCATGAGCTTCCTCATGTTGCTTGCGGTCTCCGGATCTGGTGCCTCTTTTTCACTGTCCTTGTTCAGAACGACATGAGCATCGTCTGTCACCTGGCATTGAGACGACGCAAGAACTACTACGTCACAAGGCAGACAGCACGGCCAGCAGAGTTCTTTTCAAGCGTTTTGCTTTATCGTTGCTACAGAGTCTGTCGTCCTACATGAGCTCCCTTTACCAATTTAGTGGGCATGCCTGTCCTATGCAGTCTATGAGCATACAACAAGCTTGCCGGCAGTACTGAAGGAAGTACGCGCTCTGCATCCGTTCCAGCAAGTACCTGCACGCAGCATGGTGGTCAACTGGTTTTCGCCTCGGCCCCATCCCTGTGGCAGAGACGTACTCGTGCCTCTTTCCATCTCAAAGGTCGCTGGGCACGACGAAGAAACAACCGTGCCGCATCCTAAGCTTGGCATAGCAGGGTGCCCCAGAGGCTACTAGCCAGAAGACATGGGCGAGATCTGGCCTCCTACTTCCTGCCACAAACCGAAGTAGTTTCCAACTACAGTGGCACACTCCCAAGCACCAGGAAGAGAGCCTCCAGATCCCGTTTCGTTTCCGCGTGATCTTTCCATTCTTAGCATCAAATCTGAACTTCTTCGTGCAGCTGAGCGACCGCAGGCTTTAAGCCCTCAAGCTCGTAGTGCACAACCTCCGGCAATCATGGTCGGGCTCTTCCCAGAGCATAGGGGAATCACTGTGCAGAGCTCCTACCGACACTAGCTGCAAATGCGAGTAATCGTTGAAGGCAAAGGTCCGCAACTGTGTACAGAGGGAGTGCTTGGGAGACTTGAGTGCTCGCAGGCCACAGGCCCGGCTCACTGGCTAATGGATGGGACGATATGCCTTGAACTGGCTGCATCCTGGCCCCAGCAGTCGATACCTGAGCAAGCCGGGCCACTGTCAGCACTGTAAGGACAGGGATGCAAGGACAGGGAGCACGGCTTAGGAGGCATTAAGTGCCGCGCTGAGAACTCACAACAATCCGAAGGTTCGGACAATGGCGCAGGATCTCAGAGAGAATGTTCAACATGTCCGGGCACCTGCACTGTGTACCAACATCTCCCAACCTCAACTCCCTTGTTCTTTTCACTCAAATCACCACTTGAGCCCCCAGTTTCTGCGCATCGCCTCTCCAATATTGTCCCGCAGCCATGGATCAGAAGCAGTATTCCGATCCCGCCTGGGAGACTTCTCATATTCTCGCGGCGTGTCTTTTGTCTGCGGAAACTGAGAGCGAGGCTGGCATCTCCGGCAGAGACTGGCTGCACCTTGGAACCTGCGAGGACTCGGACAGGATCGCTTGACGGCTAGATGCCGGAGACCTGCTAGAAATATCCAAAGAATTCCAACATCTAGATTCGGTTCGAAAGGCGAAACGACTTTTCGATAGCCGGATGTGCCTCGGCTTGTGCTCCCCGTCTGCACGCTGGCCGTGTTTCGCCTACAAGCAGACGATATCGAGGCTACGCAGTACGACTTAAGACTGTGCCGTCATCCAGGCACAGTGCCAAATCACAAGAACCAGCGATACTCTTTAATCTCAAAGTCGCCTTTGCCATTTCGATGCAAGCAGGCTGAGCTCGTGCAGCAAGGTTTGGAGCAACTCCTCGCAAGGTCACAAGATGTCAGGCGCCTCAGCACAGGGATCAGCAGGACCGAGCGGAGATGCTCAGACGCTCCATGCTCCTCGTTGGACCACGTCGGGACTTCGGACTCCTTCTCGGCTTCATGGGCTACTCTCATCGACGACCACCTAAAACGAACTTCAGAAGGCAGTCCAGCTGCGTCTTCCTCGCCGGCCTGACACAAAGAGCAGAGGGTGGATGCTCCACTTCAACACAGAGTTCGCGCCCTGGCCTTCGGGGCAAACACTTCCGAGGACGCCCCGTCACCGAAGAGGTCAACCTCGCAGTTTCAACGAAAATTCACACGTTGCTGTTGTCGGAACGTCTCTCGGCGGCCTCGACTGGCAACTGCCGCCCTTCCGGGTCGAGCTAAGCCAGTCCTCGCGACACTGTCGAGGACGAATCTATGAGTCTATGAGACTAGACCCTCAATTGCCCGATGACCAGTCGCAACGTCCACTGCCACTGCTAAGCACGCATGACGGACGAATTGCCTCCTCGGCCAACGCTAGCTGGACCTGGTTTCGCACCGTGGGAAGAAGAGAAGGACTTGGAAAATGTGGCAGGAAGTGGCCCGGAAGCACTCTGAGTTCGCAGCGGCTGAGCGAATACTGGAGATCCAGGAAATGCAATCCTGACCGTTGTTAGTTTCGGTAACTTGCGGCTGCTAGGTGAGCCTCTCTGTTGTATGTAGCTTTATGTACCAGTAGCTTCCACAGGCTGCGTACGTTCAAACTTCAATCGCAGGATGCCTCGACTTCTGAACCCACTCGGACTTTGACGCATCGCATCTGCATGTGCAAAGCAGATGCTCGATGAACCTCGGATGTGCCCCGGAGCACTAGTCACCAGTCACTCACTAGCCGCTAGCCCATGCAACAACTCCATCGACTGCAGCCTGGCGGGGCACACTGGCACTGGCAGATTGCCAGCGTTCCACACAATCAACAATGACAATGGGGGGCATGTCGGCCATAGAGGCAACAGTACCGTGATCTGCTTCGTCTGGTCTCATCAACTCCCAGCATGAATCCCTCCACATTGGTCCCTCGATGTCCCTGGCACCGCTTGAGATGATACCACCTGGACTGGCCTGAAGACACATATACAATCCAAACAATTTCCTTGAAGGCACCCTGTTACACCACCAGAGCAACATGGCCAACACCACTGCTGTGCAGCAACCATCAACATGTTCCATGCACGTGGACGAGAATCTCACCCTGCATTTGAGTCGGCTGACAAAGCTTTGTGTTTGTGTGCATTTGTGTATGCTTCGAAGGAATCATGGCAGAGGCCAGGGCAGCATCGAGTACCGCAGATTTGCCTGCAGCAATCGCATCTCAACGCACAGTTGCAGTCTGGATCACCGCGAGCGCTCCCTGAGCTGCAGACCTATTCCTGGTACAGCATGCCGATTGCCTCGGCACTCGCGAATCCCTTCTCTTCTTGCTGAGGATGCAACTGTGTCAAGAGTTCTGGCAAGTGGCAAACTGTGACAAAGCGACGCTTGTCCAAGTGCTGGAGGATGGACCTCGGAAACACCATCATGGAATGAAGATCTGAGACAATACCGCGGCCAAGCCGCCAAACATCCAGTGTCCGCCCAGTGAAGTCCTCTGGAAGTTCGGGCCTTGTCTCACTGCGATTCGCGTGCAAGGGTGGACCAGTAAGACGAGATCCGCACAAGAACTGCTCGAACGGCGTGCTCAGCAACCTCCGCCCAAACAAGCTCATTGCAAGCCGGCCTTTGGGCGACGCCAGGCCTGGTCTGCGGCTTTCGTGCGGCCACCCTTCAAGCACTGGAGTTCTATGACTTTGGGCTTTGGGAGATTGCAAGGAGGAGGCTCCTTTCCCTCTCTTAGCCAGAAGGAGTAGCGCACTACCCCCCGGCGCAAGCGCTCACTATCCTCACTCTCTTTCTGAATCTCTCTCTCTCTCTCTCTCTCACTCTCCCTTCGAGCATGTCGACTCTCGTGGGAGCGCTGCGGCCTCGTGGGACAGATGACTTTGTCGTGGTCCTTAGTCAGGGATGCTGGAACGTTGCACTTCCCAGCACATGGACGGCATTGCACCAACCGTCAGGTGCCGACTCCGGCTCGCGGGAGCAGGCAAAAGCTGCGGCTTGCCTGGCAGAGACAAAACCCAACAGAACCTTCCAAAACCTGCACACTCTGCATGCCTCCTGCGGAATGCCCGGCTGGCATCGTAGAGAAGTGACGGCACCGTCGAAGGCCGCGGCTACTGTGCTGCCGCAAAAGATTGCTGTGTAGAACATGCGCATGAAGATCTTCACCCAGGAATCCATGATCGTGTCCTCTGCGCAGACCACATGCGGAATGCCGGAGTCAGCGAAGACATTGCCAACTGCTTGGGATTGACAGGCGTTAAGAACTACCAGCTGGAAGGGAGCTGTCCCCGCACGCAGCGACAGCATCTCCTTCACCAGCTCGCAGCTGAGGAGGTGAGCGGTCCCCTTTCCATCTTCAAGGACCAAGCCCTGTGGGGTACCATGTGCAGATAGGTGAAGGATGTTGGTGTCTTTTCGAGTTGCAATTCCGTGCGATAGGCTGCGTTGAAGGCTTGCTGCTGTCAGCGGGCGAGCTGTCAAAGAGGGTCCGTTGGGCGATTCCACCGAGGCTGTCACGAGGTTCCTCCACTCTTGTTCGAAATCGAGAGCTGGCAATGGGGTAGCTCCACGGGTGGCATCAATTCGGCAGAGTGGGGAGGCGTACAGCATCATCAGGGAACTCGACCGGGGGGCACTGGTATTCACAGGCTCCGACGGCTTGGCAACACAAGGCACGGGAAGAATGGGCTCCGATGCAGCTTGGAAGGACACGCCAAGCTCACGCTGGGGCCGCTCCGGGCGGTCCTCCTGTGCCTCTGATGATCCACCGTCGCTGCGAGGTCGTGTAGACCAACCGGACTCTTCGGTGACTTCGGACTCCTCGGGGTACAACTCAGCTTCGGGCTCTGACTCCGTCTGGGCCGTTGCTGTATTCGTCACAGCCTCTTCCCCGATGAAGAAATATTCGGTCGCTGCTGGCTGCGGCAAGCTTGTCGTCTCCGGCACATCAGAATGGATTGAGGCGTGTCCAATCATCTCGGAGTCCGGTACAACATGATACGACGGATCCAAGCATCCCGACTTGCAAAGCAGCTTGCGAAGGTGTGGAATGATGCAGTATGTCAAAGGGAAAAGCACACCTACAACACCCAAGGCAGCCACCAACCAGCCTGACCATCCTTGCTCAACGCTCCCATCCAACTGAAGGTCCTCCTTCGGTAGAGAATTCTCTTCTGGCGCATCTGACTTCACCGAGACACTGGCAGACTCCTCCCATGGCCGTGGGAGGAGCTGACCCGAGAAGGGGCTTGCCCTCAGATTGTAAATCGCGCTTTGGCGTCTTGCATGCGTTCTCTCTGTGGTTCCTTCCTGGCTCAACCGGCGCACGTTCGACCTGGGACTATCTGGCGATGGTGCGCATGAGCCCGTCCAGCAAAGGTAGCTGAGACAAAACAATGAAAAAGGACCGAGGCAAATAGTCCACGGAATGCGCAGGCTTAGCTTGCGCAGCATCTCGCTCAATGGATTGCTTCGGCGCTAAAGCATCTTGCTAACAAAAGTCATCGACTGAAGTGCTGTGATGAACGGCCTGGCATTTCTGGTGCTCGGTGCTGCACAGCAAACAACACAACCCCAAGTTTCACTCGATGCTTCTGTCGTCTCCGCGCCGTTTCGATACATGAAGGCTCTGGCACTCTTGAGCCAGAGCCTACAGAGAAACGACTCAGAACCACTCAAACGTCTGCCCTACCATGCCCCAGGCCCCAACGAGCAGCTCCGGCCTTTGGCCTCTTCCATGTAAGACTTCTGGCAGATAAGCCCTTACCTTTCGTCCAGAGAGCTGCCAAGTCCTGCGAGCCGGCGGGTTGGCCACGAAGCTTTGCTCTTCGGAGGGTGACAGACAGCTAGTCATAGGTCGTCGGTTTTGAGGACGGTACACGAAGCAAAGCGAAGGAGTGCAGGTGTTACTTGTACTATGCAAAACGAACGTTCTGATGGGGGTATGCCGGGCATGTTTCTCAGCACCCAGCCCCCAACCAAGCAGGTTCCTCGAGCGGAGGATCGCGGCGAGCCTTCTCTATTCGCTTCTGCACGACATACTCCTGAGCGTTAGCAGCACATTGTCGGCCAAGAAGGGATGTTGAGAAAAAATGCGGAGAGCATCCTGCAAAGCATCCAAGTCCAGCTGGAAATTGGAAGGTTCCAAGGCGAGCACCTTGGCACGCAGTTGGCGCGACATGACACATCTGCAGTCTGCCCTGCGATGTTCCCCATGCCTTGGCATCAGAGTAGCCGGTGTTGCTCCCAGTCTGAATCGTGACCTCTCTGGACGACGCGACACAGCATTGGCAGACCGGTTCCTGTCCAGCCGGCCTCAAAGCGGCCAGTGTCATACGGGCCTCCTGTGACCAGGCCTTTCTTGCCGTTGTACCTAGTCACGCACTCTCGAGGCTTGCAACGGCACCTTGCCTTGCTGAAGGACAGACGATTGTTAGGTGTCTCTTTGCAGCTCATGTACTCCGGCTTCTTCTGCAGACCCTTGATTATGACAGGGGCTCCTCTGAAGATCCCCCTCGCCTCGCAGGAGCGGATTCAAGCACAGGACGTCAAGCCTTTCTGTCCCGCCTCAACATCATGGAGAGGTGCCTCCTTTGAAGCCTCCATTGAACTGTTATATTATATGTTGTCTGAAGGTGCTTTGACGGGGTGCAAAACCTACTTGCTTACAATTTGTGGGAAACTCCTTCTTCGATACTGTCTTGGCTAGCTGTGAGATGCTCCAGGTTGCCATGCTTGTAATACTGACACAGCTCGAACCACAGCACCACCGGCAATGAAACAGATGATACTGCCGCCCGCAGCTCTTGAGTCTTGACAGTAACTTCCAGCCACTTCTCGAGGACGAGAACAGGATCACTGCAGAGACAGGAAGCTTACGAAGTCCAAGACCCGTCACGGAAAGCTTCTTGAAGACTGCGCGTTGTCAAACCTGCTCTTTGACACGATCGAATCGCGTAGATGCAACATTGCATCGCCGAAAGACGAGGGTGAAACGGCTCTTCTCGAGACATCTTTCAACTTTGTGAATTTTGTTCGCTCAGGTTTGCCCGCTGGCTACAGGTCAGTGGTAGCTCTGTCAAACAGCCATCGTCAACAAACCAGCTAGGCCCGCCAGGCCCGTGAGGCAAGCCGGGTCAGGCGAGGCATGCATCCTCAGCTGAGACGTGCTGGAGCAAACTGAGACACCAGGGCACCTGAGCGCCGAACACTCGAGACGATAGGGTGTCCCTTGAAACGGCTCCGTCGTTTGCGGCCCCGTCGACTGCGACACGAATCGCTGGGCAGAACGGCATGTTCAGGCAGCGGGCTTTCATGGTGCTTTCACACGTTCTTGCACAAGCACCTGCTCTTCCAGGTTTCTGGGCGCTCCAGAAAAAGGCGTTGGGCCAGCCTCGGGAAAAAGGACCAGGTCGAGGGTGCAGGCCTATCTGCATTTACATGCCTGTATGTATGATCATGCATGCATGTACGTAAACATGCGTGTGTATAATATAAATATATGGTCACCCCCCCCCCCATGACAGACCATGCCCTTTCGACTCAGTCGTAGTGCATGGTCTGTGATCGGGGGGAGGGGGCACTCAGCTTTCAAAGCCTCAATTCCAAAATTTCCAAAATTCTCTCCCCTAACTTTCCGGATTTCCAAAATTTCCAAAATTTCCAAAATTTCCAAAATTTCCAAAATTTCCAAAATTTCCAAAATTTCCAAAATTTCCAAAATTTCCAAAAATTTCCAAAATTTCCAAAAAGTCCGCCCTTATGTTTTGGAAAAATCCTGTCAACTAGGTCGGGAAATTTTGGAAATTTTGGAAATTTTGGAAATTTTGGAAAATTCGGAAATTTTGGAAATTTTGGAAATTTTGGAAATTTTGGAAATTTTGGAAATTTTGGAAATTTTGGAAATTTGGAAATTTTGGAAATTTTGGAAATTTTGGAAATGCGGAAAGTTAGGGGGAGAATTTTGGAAATTTTGGAAATTTTGGAAATGCTGGAATCTGTTCTATATATGACTCAAGTAAGATTACTGTGTAGTGCTTACTATGTAGTGTATCAGCACAACCCTCATCCATACACGTGTGCTCTGTAATTCCTTTCTTGGTAGGACACCCGCGCGCCTTGTCGTGCTAGTCTCCGCATCGGACCAGATTACTTGCAAAGGCAAGGGCTGTCAATACTCATGCCCATATTTACACGAATATCTCTCTATCTATCTGTATATCTATATATACATATATGTATTGATACTCCTACATATAGTATTGCCATTGAACATACTGACATTGATCATTTGTTGAATGCTCAAGCTAATACCAGCATTACTACTAATATTACACTTCTATAAAGCTTAGTACGAATATGCATAACACAAATACTAAGATTGATTAGTATTGCTCTTAGTACTCCTACGCATATCAATAACCATATTCATATTGATAATAATGTATAATAATACCAATACTAACACACACCTGTATGTACTAATGTACATAAACATGCATACCACCATATTAAAATACAAATCCTTTAACTCACTCATGAATTCAACTGTTAGAATTTCACGTGGTCAAGAGTAATAACAATACAAACATTCTTTCGAATGTATATCATCAATAATATGATAGTACTAACGCTAACACTACTGCTAATACTTAACACAAAATCTATACTAACATCAATATTTACATAGCTATTTATACTCCTACGAATACGAATACGTAAACCCTTGTGCGTTAACAGTAGTGCTATCACCAACACTAATACGGACTTTGATAATCTGCTGCATATTCAAGAATGCCACTAGTATTACCAGCATGAACACTCATATTATGGCTATTACGAGTATAAATAGTCCTACTTCTACTAGTATTGACATTAATACTCCTACGAATACCAATAGTATATTCATATTGATATGAAAACTAATACCATTACTAATAGACACCTGCATATACTCATGTACATAAAATACGTACCACTATCTTAAGATACAGATATATACATCAGTGCATTCATGTATTAATGCTTTGGCATAGGCATATACCCATATACCAATGTATCAATATACTTCTCGTTGTTGTATGAATATACTATACGAATATGTGACTATAATCATATACGGCTACTGCACTATGCAAGAATACCGACATGACAAGTTCGTATACTAATATGCCAACATACTGATATACTTATACATGATTAGATAAAACAGTAATATAGTACACATATTCGTACACTAATATGCTAACGTACGAATATACTGGTATGTCAATATACTAGTAAGCTAATACAGCAGTATAGTAGTGTAGTCATGCACCAGTTGTACTAACATGTAAAATATACTAGTATACAAGTATGCAAATATTTTGCTGTCCGAATACATTGATGTATTGATATACTAATCTGCTAATATACGAGACTATCAATATACTAACATATCAAAACTAACTAGTTCTAATATTGATACTAATACTAGCACTTCTGCGAATATAAGCTGCTGTTAAACCCAGCATTAAGACTGATACTGATACTACTCGTAGCAGTGGTGCTGTATTACTGACATTGACACTGGCACTAGCGCTAACTCTAACACGAACATGAGCACTAACACTAATTTATAGTTGGCAATATTGATACGTATACTTACAGCAAGCAATAGTACTAATATTAATAACAATACTCACCCTAATACCGATACTACCACAAGACTATTACGTAACTCATGTGCCGCACGTCTGGTGCTATACTATATACCTCATGTAACGGTTTTGCTTCACAGAATATCGTTGTGCACGGTGTTTTTTAGACCCGTGGTCTGTCACCGGGGGGGGGGGGTGAGCTAATATATATATATATATATATACATATACATATACATATACATATACATATATATATATATGTATGATGTGCGTGCGTGTGTGTGTGTGTGTGTGTCTATATCGAATTTTTTGTATACATATACCACCCCACCACCCCCCCACCCCCACCCCCGGACCCACATCAAAGATTGAAAGAATCCACACCGGCACCAAGATGTACCAACAGCCTGGGTTAAGGATGGGCTTCAGTACTCGAAATTCGCGCATTTCAACCAAATCTCGCTTGGAATGTAGGAAATTGTGGCAATGTTGGAAACTTGGGAAGGGGACGAGAGCTTTAGCTTTCGCTATGCATATGTATACATGTATACATACATACATACATACATACATTCATACATGTGCATAGGCAAAACTATCATATTAACTTACTAAGTATACAAAGTGCCGAATGCGCAAAAAATCAAAAAGTCCACAAATGCCAACCACAGCAAATTCTGGATTTGCCTTCTGAGATAAATGCCAAGGTTTTGTTTTAAATTCTGAACCGGGGGATTTGTTGGAAACTTGGGAAGTCTCCAGGTCTCGGAAGTCGTCAAGTTTGAATTGGCCGCAATATCTGATCGTGCTCGAGCATATCCAGGTCAGAGCTCGTCTTAATCTTGTTGCACGGCCCCTGCTTCGACCTTTGCACCCGATCTGTTCATCTATCAATCTATGTCTCTGTCTGTCCGTCTGTCTGTCTGTCTGTCTGTCTCTGTCTCTGCCGACCTGCCTGCTTGTCTGCCAATATGTATGTGTTTGCTTACATTTAGGCTAATTTCTGCTAATGCATTATCTAAAAGAAGGCTCAGAAGGCAGTTTTCTTAGCTAGGTTAGCCACCTCCCCCATGCATCGAAGTGGGCTAACCAACTTTGCATACATAATTTTAGGGGATATGCAGGCCTCAGCTCACCGCCGGAATCGGCTCTTGGGCCCGGGCTGGGCCGTAACCCCTGAACTCCTTGGCATCTCCGACCCACGCTGCAGGCGCGTTTGAGACTACGACTGCGACTCAGAAGCTTACGTTTGGTCGCAGGAGACTATTCGGGTCGCTCCCAGGTGCATTCACGAACAGCCTGGCAGCTCCACATGCAGACGCAACCAGCTGGCGACGGCATGTCATCTGGCAAGGAACCAGGGATCACCAAGAGCTCCAGCCCTCTCTGCGAGCTCCTGTCAATCGCGCACCACGAAGCCCTTCAAAGGAAACAAGTCAGGTCGCCTGATCCCTCAGCAGTGATGGCTGGCCCATTTCTCCTGCCTGGCACGAGTGCAATGCACATTCGAGTTCCTTGGAACCTGTGAAGATCAAGGCACCTCGATCCGAACAATGAGGCTCCAAATGATGAAGGCAAAGTAGCCCATAATGGCTGGCAGGGATGCGCACTGTCTGTCTCCTCATGGTACCGCCAAATTGCCCCGTGCCTCCCTGAGCGAGGAACATAGCAAAGATATGCACCTGACAAGCAAGTGACCGCAGTGACCCCAGGGCCGATGCAGGGTCAAAAGCAGAGACTCCGTGACTGTCGTGGCTCAGCGAAAGGAACCGGACCTGGAACGTGCCGCAGCTCATTTTCCTCCACAAGGTTGTCTCAAACAAGGACCAAAAAGGCTGTGCAGAGTCTGAATGAAATGCAGACTTTGGCATCAGCTCAGGCTCCGGCTGAATTTCCTTCTGTGGGTGAAGCTTTTGGAGCATTTCAAGTTCTTGACAGCCCTGTGCAAAGGGGGAAGTCAAAGGAACACCAGGAGATGTCCCCAGCCAGGCCTTTATCAATCCCACGACAAGCTCTAAGCAGATCATGACCAAATAGCAGAGATGGTAGAGGAGCAGCACGCGCAACCTCTCCTGATGTTGACATGTGTGACATGCCAGGTACGCCGTCAATCGTCGGTCAGCGAAATCCACTGAAGGACCACTGTTTTAAGAATCTAAGCAAGAACCTGTCAGGGTGAGACCGGCCTGCAGTTGAACTGCTGGCATGAGCATACATAGACGGAAATGAATGCTGAGCCCACATTGTGGCACAGAAATGAGAACACTGGATTACAGCTTTGGCCACCTTTCCAGGCAGCAGAAATCCTATATGGCACCGTTGACAGTGACAGCACCATGCCACGAACCTGGGGCAGTGGTGCCTCTGCTACTTCATGGCCAATGATGTCTGTTGTGCGTACTTCTTGCCGGTAGCGATTTCGCTCTTCAACTGCGCCTGGCAAGGGAATCGGACATCCAGCTCGAGGCTTCACCGCAAAGCACTACGCATCATAAAATTCGTGCAGACATGGCGCTTTAGCTTCTGCCAGCCGCTTCTGCTCCTAAGTTGAAAGTCAGCTTGAGAACTTCAGCATAAGAGCTGAACGAGCCTTTCACTAGTTTGCGCTAGATCAGCAGAGTGTCATGTGCGCTGAGATTTCCGATGGGAAGTGCCCGAGCCACACCCGCTCTGCCAAACTGAACTCTGGACGCGAAGTAATCCAATTCGGTCACATCTGACTTGATGTATGCACATTCCACAGCAGCTTGCCCTGACATGCCAGCCAAAACAGCCCGGCCAAGGCGTGCTCCTGCATAGGCCATGGAAAGGGTGGCCGAGCCCTTTCCGTTCTTGGCATTCACGACCTCTGTCCCTGCATCTTGCGTCTTCCTGTCCAGGTCTGGAATTTTGGCGGGATCGATCCGCGATCCGTGGCGATCTTGCGAGAAGACCGGCAGGATGGTCATGCCGGCATGGCCTCCTATGACTGGCACCTCAACCTGCAGGAAAGGGAAAGGCACGGCCTGCCTCAGCCTTGTCTTTAACCTCATAACTCATGATGTCCTAAACTGCTCTGACCTGGTTGCTTGCATACCCCCAACTTTGACACGTGCTCCTGGCCCTGGGAAGGTTTCGCTTTGGTGATAAGTTAGATCGTGTCAGCCTTCATTCCATGATTGGTCCGTCCGAAGAGCGTTGCATGGGCCGCATGGGCACTAGTGCTCCCAAGCCAGACCCAGGGCAGAGCGAAAATGTAAAACCGGCACCCTGCGGCAGTTGTTTGAACTGCTTGTTTGGCGTTTTGATCTCTTTTCTTGCATCTGCATGGGAATGAACCCTGATTGATATTCTTTTGCATTCTGCCACCAGTCGTGGTGATCATCACCAAGGACAAACAACAACGACAACAACAACAAGAAGAAGAGCAGCAACAGCAACAGCAACAGCAACAGCAACAATCATCATCATCATCACCACCATCATCATCATCGCAATCGTCACAATCATCATGGTCGCGTAACAAACGATGCTTCGTTCATTCACATGGTCGAAATCCCAAGCTGCCGTGGAAGCTTCAGCCGAGCGACCTCACTGGGGTGACAGCCTACAATGTCGGCCACAAACTTGTTGGCCCGGACACAGTCAAGCGTTGTCACGCCAACAATCTTCGTCGGATCCAAGCCGGCTTTGCTGTAAAGTTCAGCCATGGCCGGCACGATTGAGTTCACTGGATTAACTATTAAGGCGACCACTGCCTGCGGACAGAACCTCGCGCAGGCCTCTACAATGCCTTTCGCAATGTCTGCGTTTACACGGAACAAGTCGTCCCTGGTCATGCCAGGTTTGCGAGGCATGCCAGCAGGCACTAAAACCAGACTACAGCCAAGCAGACAGTCCATCAAATGGTCTTTTGGAGCCTTTCCCACGTCCATTACGTAGCCGGTTACTTTGACCTTGCTCTCAATATGGCTCAGGTCTGCGGCGACACCCTCTGGAGGCACCATAGCCACATTCAGATCGAAAACGGAAAGCTCCCGTACATTGGGATCCATAGACATTAGCAAGCAAAGCGGCTGGCCGATGCCACCAGCACCGCCGCACACGCAAACCTTATGGGCCCCTCCGCCCATGATAGCTTTCCGGATGCCCATAGAGCATGTTGCCCCCATGAACGAACCGGTCGAGAGGGTATCAGTTGCTGGAGCCCGCAGCTTCGCAGAAGAAGGGCATGAGCATTAAAAAAAAATGAAAGATACTGAGCCGTGGTGAAGACTCAGGCATGCACCACGTCTTTCAGCAAAACGCCGATGAGGCCCTTGAAGCCCGCAAAAAGCGCGAGCGTATTCACCATCCTGAAGAATTCTCGACCATTGCTGGCCGCTAGCCCCAGTCCGCGAATCACAAGCAGGTCTCTAAGGCCAGCGCATTTTCAGGAATTCTACCGTTGCAAGCACAACTGAATGCGTTTCCGCGGTTCTTGGCCTGCCATTCTGAAGTTTGCAGACATGTCCCCGCTTGAACGGGAGCGCCACCCTCCCATGAGGACACTGAGCATGCTGAAGCTGCCGAAGACCTGCGCAACTAGGCGACCAAGAACTAGGCAAACTCAAGACAAGCCAAAGTCGAAAGCACAGAAAGCACAGAACACTGTGCTGCTTCATCAACTTCATCAGGACACATCTTGCAAACGAGGCACCACGGTGTAGGTAGAAATAACTTGCACCTGAGTTTCACCGTCCGAGCCCACCTTTCAACCTGGCCTTTCACACCTCTCGGGCCGCGACCCCTTGAAGCAGCGAACACGAAAGGCAGCAAGTCTGCGAAAGCAAGGCTTTGAGCGCAGTTGGAAGTGGCGAAAAAGCCACACACACACACACACACACACCAACCAGCTTGATTGTGACCTCCGCTGGTGGCGGCGCCATGATCGGAATGAGATCTACTATGAACTGTTGAGAGTTTCGATGTCGTCGCACGTGTAGCTTGTCTAGCTAGTAGCTTACGGCGGATGCCAGTCAGGTCGACTCGCGAGCTGTCTGGACGTAGATCACTGGCTTCATCCTCATATGTTTTGGCCTGCAAGCCATTGCCGGTCTGAACTTCTGACCTGTGTCAAGAACTGCTGCCAGTAGCAACGGCAGGCTGAGACAGCGAGAGCGAGACAATTTCTAAGCGCGACCCTCCACTGGTGAGGAGTCTTAAAGCACTGAATTGTCCAGCCGAGTGGAAACTGTGCTGCTTCATCAGTACAGTGCGGCTGAAGACATGGAGCTCAAGTCCCATTGACGTGTCTTTGACGATATGAGTGTAGTATTCGTGGACTCTGCGTGAGCTTGAACCCCATGAAATATGCTGTTCTAGTGAAACGTCCAAGGATGCTTGTCTTCTAGCTCCTCGGTAAAACTTGTGATACGGTGCACGAGTCGAATTAAAAATCGAAAATAAGCTGTCTACCTGTCTACGTCCATCCATAGGGCTGATTAGGGCATTGGGGCGCTCTCTTCATGGACGGTGCCATCTGCTGTGTGCATGATCTGCAGTGGTCATACTGAAGTGTACCTCTTGCGGCTTCGGCCTGTGAATATTGAGCATGGCATATATACCTGACATAGGCTTTGGCTGCTCAGGATGTGGAGCGGTTGGCATCAGCGTGTCCGCCTCAACCTGAGACAGTTAGGGCAGGGCGCTGAAATTCGACATTGCCTAGCATTGCCAAGGCACCTTGACCTCTGGAAAGTGCTCGGGGAAATATCTCGGAAACCTGTCTGTTCTGCAGAGCTCCTGGAATGCATGTCAGTACAGGTTCATGCTTGAGCTGCCCTGGGGTCTGTGGAGACTGGAAGACAGCTGTGCAGACATGCCGACATCTGTCCTCGCTCGTCGGGAACCGGAAGATCTCCGAGAGTCCTTGCCGTGTCAGAACAACTGCACATTTAGGACTTGCGAAGTGCATCCCAAAAAGTGTATCGAGACAAGCCACCCCCCATCACCGTCAGAGGTGGGCAGTGCGGATGCTTCAACCTTCTTGGGAAACTTGTCAAAGTCGTCATGTTTGAGTAGAAGCATGTGCCAAACAGCCCACCTCGAGATCCTGGAAGTCTCGGTCACAGCTTTTGAGCTGTCTTTCAAAATAGTCGGCCTGGGATATGACCTTGCCCATTGCATCCGTGAATGTTTGGTCATGAACATGCACACCGAATGCAGCTGCAGAGCGTCTGTGAGTATCTTGTGGTCCGTCTGGTTCAAGAACCTTTTTGTCAGCTTCTGTATTCATTGTGGCCGTTGAAGGCTCCGCAAGGTGTAACCAGACAGACCAAGGAAGCGGCTTGACAAAAACTTCGGCATAGCGTCTACACAGGCTCCAGGGACGAGGATGCATTTTCATCACCTCTCAACGCTTTTCAGAGCAACCCCTCTGAGATTGAACGCAGAAATTAACACAAACCTGGCCTCGTTGAACGGGCCGGGCTTTATGATCGCTAGCTCTGAGGGTGTGCTTGCCTCATGGGGAAGTTAGTTTCACTTCTGCCCGAACCGCCGTTCTTGCACTGCGTGGTGGCATCTTATGCTGCCTTGAACTCCCCTCGGTGCCACCATGTGGTCCACAAGACAGCTTCTGCCAACCACGCCTGCCAGCAGTACGGATTGAAGAATCAGTCGACGGCAAGGACGAGTCGACTGGATCTTTCGCATTCAAGCCTTCTGCAGCAAACGAGGTCTCAGAACCTCGCCATTGGGGAGCATGTACCTGAATATGGCTGATGGCCAAAGCCAAAAAGGCCTTTGCGGGTGAGTCGGGGCACTCGAGATGACCGCTCTTCACGAAATACATTTTCTCCCCCTCTTCACCGGGATGAAACACGACATCTTCACCTGTCAAACACAAGCTATCCACTCTGTCACATTAGACAAATTCGAGAAACTTCATCGACGGCCGGGAGCCGTGCTGGCCAGGTCAATCGTTCGCAGAACTGTATCACAAAGCTTGACGAGGATCGGGCTCATCTCATGCCTGAGACTGAGGAACCAAATGGCATCCGTGAGCCCACCCATCCAACAAGTATGGCAAGACATTGCCTCTGTGTCATCACCTTATCCCTCTGCAAAGCTTTGGATGAGCCAGTGGGATTGCAGTGGCACACAGCTACACACTTATAAGGCACACAGGAGCTGCGACTGGGTTTTTGTTCACGGTTCCTGCTTGGAAGGGCTTGCGAAGGCCTGTGCAGCCGCTTGAACAGCTACAAACCTTGAACCCCTTGCGAGCCCAACTGCAGCCTGCCGGGTCCCATAGTAGGCGCAATGAAAACTTGGGTCCCAGTCTGCTTGAAAGTGACAGAGGCAGAAGTCTTACGGGCTTCTTTCCTTGGGCAGTTTCGCGAGGGATGGATTGGAAGCCGTCGGTTGTGCATTCTCTGCGGCCGAGTTTGCCTTTCGCGAGCTAGAAGACCGAAAAGTTCCCTAAACCCTCAAGCAGCTCAAGCAAGGAAAACCTTGGGGATGAAAAGCAGAAAAACTACCAGACAGGTAGTTTTGTGGTTATCGCTTCTGGGCAGCTTTGGAGAGAATAGGTGAGCTCACCTCCTTAGGTTCGGAAAGTGCCGGACCGGAGAAGCCGAGATGCTCCAGGTGGCAGAAGAAGGGATGGTTCTCGACATGCTTTTTACTCAGCTCGTAGGCCAGCAGATTCTTCAGTGGCTCCTGACACCCAAATCACTTCTGTAAGGTCCAGGATTGGCTTCTTCTTGGCCCCGGACTGACAGGAGCGTGAGGATTGTGATGGAACCTCAGAAGGGGCTCAACAGGGCCCTGGCTTTTCACGTAAGTCCGATCAAGTCCGCGACCGGGATTGACGTCACCCTGCTGATTGGCAGTCTGGTGCTCCAGAAAGCGAATGATGCGTGCTGATGTCGTTTTTCCTAGCATCAGGCTTTGGTGCCGCGCCATCCATCTCTGAGACATCGCAGACGCTGCCTATTTTTTTGTGGTTCAGGAATCGGCGAAGTAGCCAGAATTGCCTCATGTGTTGCGGCCATCAGTGGCTGTCTACATGGTGAAAATGTCCGAGGTGCTTTTTGCTGTCACCGCTCATATTTCGAAGAGCAGTCATGGAGTTGGTCACACTTCCTGCACCAGATGGTCAGAGGGGGGTCAGTGGCGACAAGAGGGCAATTTTTCCTACAATGGACGAGAAGGCCACCAAAGAGAAGAAGAGCACCTTGGACGATAGGGTGCCAAACGAGCTCAAGCTGAAGCCAGCCCTGAGGCCCTAAGGCCCGGACCAGGATCGACATTATCCTTTCGTACTCGTTACGGGCGCTCACATCCATTGAAGCTGGTGTAAATTGCGTCAAGCTCCAGTGCAAGGAAGTCAGATACCTCACGTAGCGCGTCAGAGCATGGCTCGTGCTGCAGAATGTGAAGACGACCCACTGAGTCGAGGGCTTCCAAGCAAATTCGGAGGTGTAGACATTTCTCAGTCCTGAGCACGACTTGCCTTCACATGAGACCCCACTCCCCTACTGTGTCAAGACGTCCTGTCCTGTGTCCTCCAACCAGTTGGGCATTCCTCGAGTCGATGCTCGCAGCTGCACACAGTCACAGCAAGAAAGCCCTGCTCAAGCAATTGAGGCACCGACCTGCTTCCATTGTCAAGTACCCAACGAGGTACCAAATGCACGCAATCACATGATTAAGCACCTTGATCGCAGCACATTGAAGCAGAGGGGTGCTTGGCATTGGTGCAGATACAGCAGTAAACACTGGGCGAAATCCAAGCAGCAAACAGATTGATCGGCTAAGGCTGCCGCGGTGATGGCTACTATCAGTCTTATCATCGTAAAGACCTGTACCACACCACGAGCACGAGTCTTCGAGATTCGGTCGGCAACTCTGTGCAAGAACACAAGCATGCGCGGCAGAAAAACTGACGGCATCCAAGATGCAATAAACATGTACTCACTGTCAATGAGGTCATAAACCATATTCATCAAGCCTCAGTGAAACCAGATGGCTCGGGCACTACAGCATCAAGGTTAACTCCTCCAAGCTGGGCAATGTGAAAGCTTGCTTTTCTTCAATTGCTGAGGGGATGGAGAGGGATGCCCAAACTCAGCAATAGATCTAAGGAGAGCATGCCAGGCTGCCTTTCCGCTCAGGTTTGCTCATTTTTGCACACTGAACGTTCGTGGAATTGCTGTGCAGCAGGATGGACAACGCTGGCTTTTATCCCCAAATTTGCATGTCTGCGCCCATTGGGCTCTTCATTTCATGTGTGCCACGAATCGTTGTGAGCAGAACTGTGCCGAACCTGCCGCACAAGATCATCCACTAGCCGAGCAGCGCTGCAACTTCAGCAAGCGCAGAAGTCGCAATATCCGAATGGCCCTAAAGCCCTTGATCATCCTGGCGACCTCAGCTAGACAGTGGCTGAAGCACACATTCCGACTAACCTGCGCAAGTTAAGCCCATCTTCTGATCTGCAATCCTAGCCACGGTCGCAAGGCCGTCACCACCTTCAGGGTCCACCAATCGAGTGAACCAGTCAGGCAGAACAACGATCAGGTCCGGCAGGAACCATGTGCGCAAATACCTGATTCAGGGTCCCAACAGTCCTGATATCGAGCTTCTTCAAACTTAAACCTGGCGGGCCACCGACAAGCTATCCTCTTGGGCGAGAGGACAAGTTCACCATCATCGAAATAACCGACCTGTCAGCACAGTCCATGGGCGGATTCAAAGAATAGCTTCGCGGCTACTGCGCCGATTTGCATCAGCTCAAAGCACGCACGGCAGCACAAGCTTAGCCCGCAGCTAGCAGTGTTGCCACCATGTCCAGGGTCCAAAAAATCAACGATACCCAGCCCATCAGCGTAGTGAACTGCCAGGTCAGCTCTAGACGTCAGCAAGAGCAGAGACACTCGCAACTGGCCAGGGTTGCAGTATCTTCGGCTGGATCAAAGCATTGCAACGGGATCCACCAAACATCGTAACCTACAATGAAAAGCCGCAGGAGTGTGCTTCTCGAGATTCACATCACATGGCGGCGCGTGTAATGACAAGTCAGCCGACTCATCACAGCAAGACTTCCAAGGCGCGGGCTGATGAGGATCATGCTAGCCACATCCCAGCTAAGCCGAATCGGAGCATTAGGACTCATTGGGAGCCTGGCATAGAAGCAAACAATTCTGCTTCCCTGCCGATGTAGACAAGCGGCTCTGATGCTCCGAAACATGCCGGGAAGTGCTGACATCGCTTCATTAGCCTGTGAGTCGTGTTCTTCACGTTTGAGCCAAGCTCCTTCCAGGAGGCAAGGTAGGGAACAACAAAGCCTCTGCTCTTTATCTCAGGAGTCACAACACCATGTGGGTGCACCAGTCATGTCGCATAGAGGTCTCCAATTTGTTCCTGGAATACCTAGTCTTAGTGCATGTGTTTTCTCTTGCGGTGCCGTGCGCAGTGAGGTTTTACTGTCCTTGCTTTTGGAGAAATCTCGACGAAATGGTTCTCTCTCCGATTGTTTACAGCATCCTCTCTTTTTCAGGGATTTGGGTTCGAAGAACCCTTTGCAGACACTCTGTCATGTTAGCCGAACAGCGCGGCTGGAAAAGCCTAAGCAAAGGATCATGAAAAGACCGACATAGCAACCGAGCTCCCCACCCCCGAAGCCATGGGAAGACCGACCTTTTGCAAGTCTTGGGTGAGCTCTGCAGATATGCCTCAGCGATTCAGGATCTACATCCAGGCCGGTCGCTTGCGTGCTTGTCGGCTAAGAGCTGAGAAAGCCGCTGGTTTCCCAAGCAGACAGCTTCACGTCGGTCGTGTGCCACATAGGATTTGTCTCAAACGTGAACTCCTTCGCCTTCACCAGCAGAGCACATACGTGTCCAACTGTGTAGCAATAACAACAAGCATTTTTCTTGTGCAGGACCTCGACGACACCCCCGTTGACGACAATTGGGGCAGGCATGCGGTTCCTGAAGTCTTCACGGTGAGGCTAAATTCTGCTACGACGCAATCATGCACGGGAGAAGCTAGGTCGTCTGCCCAAGCGAGTCTACAGACACACGCCGCTCAAATGGTTCTCCACCTTCAATGAAGCATTTTCCTCGAAGTTGACGGGAAGCACTCAGGCGCAGAGGCAGCCGCTGTCTGGATCCGCCAGTCTAGAAGAAGTCGGTGATGGCGGTGATGGCGCCTGTGCGAGGTGTGCAGGGCCTGGGCATGTGATCGTTTTCGACGGAGCGGACACTACGTCGCCTCGCGAGCTGCACTAAGCGCCATCCTCCCCAAGACCTGGCCAGTGGACAGGAACGGGCGTCGCGATCCGATTATGCAGTGCCCTCGTGATGCGTCGGGGCCTTCTCTTGGTTCAGGTGCTCATCCTCCCGGAGCGAATGCAATTGAATGCAACGGCAGGAGGCGAAGACGGAGATAGTGAGAGAGTGGGCACGGTTGGCGGTCCTTTGCGAAGCCTAGTCGTTGCCGCATCCATGTGTTCTCAAGTCGGAGCCTTGCCAGCTCCTCTTCATACTCCTGCGAAAGAACGACGAAAGATGTGATTTGAGACGAAGCGACATCGACTCGAGCTCAATGCAAGCAGTCCTGCTCAATCTCGTGTACAAGATCTTGAAATGCATGAAACGGCTTTTGTGCCATCTCCCAACTCCACACACCTGAAATTCCAGGCAGATCCACTGCAAGTCACAGTGTCTGCCAGTGTCTGCACTGCCTTCTAAGCTGAAGGCCACGTTTTGGCAGCAAGGCAGCTTCGCCGCGGTAGAGTCATCTACATCTTTCGCCCGTGTCCGGCCCACATGAGCCCAGAAGCTAAGCCTACCGGACCAAGGCTTTCAAGATGATTCAATCAGCTGCAACTGCTGCAACTTCACATCTCTGACGCACACAAGGGCGCTGACACACGACCATCTGATGTCACCAGCGCCTATACTGGCAGTTGGCAGCTTGTTTGGAACCTTCTGGCCCCTTGCTCAGTTCCGGTGAAACACTTGCTTTGACCAATTCTGCACACTTCACAGCCCGGTTTGGGCGTCGTGTGTTTTTCCCGAAGCCAATCACCTTGCCGAAGCCTCGAATTGGCGCCAATCCCACAGACCTCTTGACGCACATTGAAGGCACCCACCTCGCCGAGTTTCTTTTTGAAGTAATCTCGGGACCACTGATACAGCTTCATCTTGGCACTGGCCTCCGGATTCTTCGGCAACTGACATTACAGTCATTACAGTGTGAAGCAAGCCCGGCGTGAGGCATATGAGTCATGCACGGGGTCGGCTTCACCGGCAGAGGGATCTTCTCGGATGACAGCCTTCGTGAAGTCCTTCCCAGGCGAGCAGGCTGAATTGCAAGCAATCTCCAGGATGACCTGGCCTTGAGAATGTCCGGCAGCTCAGGAGGAACATTGATCTGCTCAGCACAGAAGATCCTTGCATCAGCCAAGTAGCCACTTCAAGCAAGTTCATTGCCAGTACAGGAAACCGTTTGTAAAGCGGGCCAGCCCCTCCGATTCACCTCCATCGCCATGATTGGCTCCTTGCCAACTGCGGATGAGCAGTCAGAGCCGCGGCTTCACCGGTATCCAGTCCTCCACCCACCAGAGGGCACTGTGTAGATCCTCTTTTGAGCCATGTAGAACGCCGGTCCATCGTTACCGAGGCCACGATTTAGGCGCATCACCTACAGTCGTGCACGCCTCAACACAAGAAGCCATGAGGCAAGGTGCAGCAGCACGGCAAAGGCAGGGAGGCGGAGAGGGAGCAAGGGACGAGCAAGAAAAAGACAGAAGGAAGAGGCAGCGGGAGAGAGCGAGTGAGAGAGAGAGAGAGAGAACGGGAAGAGAGCGGGAGAGAGACAGAGAAAGAGGAGAGTTTGCCTCTGCTTGCATCAGCCTCTTTGTTGCAGGGGTCCTGCAAACGCGTGCCTGCAGCTTCTGCAGGGCAGTGAAACAAATCAGCCCACGCCCACTTGGCTGGGCTCTGCCAGGCCCCGGTTGGGCTCAGCCAGATCATTAGCACGCCAGAATTGAATTTCGACTCTGGCGGTTGGACTTCGTGCACTTTGGCACTTCCAAAATTTTTACATCCACATGCAGAGCGAATTCCGTCCTCACCCTTTAACATACAGGTCCTGGAATCGCACCAACATCTCTAGAACAATCGTACAGGTGCAGCTGGCCCCAGCCAGCTCGGCGAAACCAAAACTCGGCTTCGGCCGGGGAGTTTGCGAACAGAGTCCTCCGGAGGCCGTCGTTGGCCGTGTCAACTCGGCGCGGGCCTTCTGACAAAGAGCTGTGCCCTTCAGAGCCAGTGCTTTGAGGCTCGCCTGGTGGGGTCCATGAACATCCTCTGGCGCCTCAGATGGCGATCGTTGCAGATCGGACAAGAGCTGTTGGACGTAAGCTCCCTGCGTGCGGGACATGCCGGGACCTGGACCTCTGTCTATCGGCCTCGGCTTGATTGCATCACAAAACCTTGCATCCACTTCTCAGCCCAGGACGGAGGAGTGTCAGGATGCACCTGAGGCGTGGAACTGGGCAAGCTCGGGCATGCGAAGGATTCCGAGGCTGCAACATCTGTGGCTCTGATGCGGGTCTCGCTGTTCACATAGACGAGCCCATTCCTTGAGTGACTTGGCTTGAGCTGCAAGCTCTCTGGTGCTTGGACTCTCCGGACGTTTGCGCAAAGGGAGCATGACGTGGATCCTCGGGGCAGCACTCGGATTCCGAGCCATCACGAGGAAAGGTTGCACTCGCGGGACGGAGCCTTGCAGCTAGGCTTGCGAGGTGTCTTTCAGACTACCGGTGACTGGCAGACCAAACATCCAAGTGATGCTCTTCGCGCAAAGCCCCAACCCCGGACAGGCAACGCCCTGCAAAGCCTCCCACCGAGCACACATATGAACACCAGGACCGGGTATAGACATCCAGAAACTGCCTGGTTGCCGCAGGCAAATAAGCCCGGAAAGTAGCGTTCTGGCAGCCGCTGCTAGTACCGCGACTCACGGAGCAGGGCGCTTACATGCGCTGTCCAGCAAGCCCAAGTATCCACTGTCTGAGCCGTGTGCGTGTGAGCGACATCCAGCGGCAAACAAGAAGGAGGGAGGGGAGGGACAACGATAGAGAGAGAGTGGGAGACAGAGAGAGAGAGAGTGAGAGACAGAGACAGAGACAGAGACAGAGAGAGAGAGAGACAGGGAGAGACCTCGGCCATATCACGAGCCGCCTCGCTCAACACTCGCGAGAGTTGTGCCGCGGTTCTGGAGACAGATGTGTAAGGAGATCTCTCCCGACAAAGGACTCAAAGACTTTGCAACCCTCGACGCCATGCGCGAAGCTCAGGCCATGAAGGTGATCTGGTCAAGTACCGAAGCGGCCTGGAACGCCCGCTAGGAGGTCGGCAGCCCCCGCAGTTAGTCCTATAGGTGCAAGTCGCATGCGTCGGGCACAGCAGCACGTTCCTTTTGTGGATACCGCTCTGAAGTTTTTTCATGGTCCTGCCCCATTGCATGTCACCAACCTGCTTGACCTCGGAGTCAGAAAAGACGCTTTGGCTGCGGCCACACGCAATGGACAAGCTTCGCACCAACTCCTCGACGTAGGCCGCAAGTCGCTCCCACATCTGTTCCCAATGAAGAAACCTGCAGGCGCAAAACCAGGTTGTCAGGGACGGGAAGGAAATGACGCGAAAGACGCTAAGATTGGAACTGCTTGGATGACTCATCGACCTGCAGTAGCAAAGCCACTGCAAGTGCTGCATGCACCTGCATGCACAACCCATGTATCCCCGTCCTTCACGTCCAGCTGCGCATACTTCTCTTGTATTCGCAAAGTCTCCTGCGCACAGGCCAAGCCTACTACCTGGGAGATCCTGCTGCAGAGCAGTGGTAGCCCAAGCCTCTCGGAGTTGGACTGTGACGGAAGACTGCAAATCCTCGATGCGGCGTAAGGACTGCCTGGCAATGCTCCACTATGCTCCGCTGTTCTCCGTCCCGCTGTCCCGCTCGTTCCAAACGTAAGCGTGAGATGCCTGTCCCTCTTGCTTGTTTCCAGCGCAAAGGAGTCCATGTCCTGCCAAGCTGCCTGTACAGTATTCTTTTAACAAATTGCTGAAGCAGGGCTCGAGTCCTTCTTGTCGGCCTTGGCGGCATCAAGTTGCTTGATGGAGTTCCTGTCGGATAAAGCACCCTCGCTGCCGCCATCGCACTGCCCGTTGCAGAAAGAGCATGCAGGCTCCAGATGAGCAGGACATCGCGCATGATGGACTGAACCTCAGTACCGGATGCAGAGAGGTCCCGTGGCCCAGGAAAAGCAAAACAACCCCAACCACAAACCTTTGCTCCCAGCATCCTTGGCAAGCGCAAGAGCTTTCTGTGCCTGACGCCGGACACAGCCCCGTCTCGTCCTCCTCCCTTGACCTGGCAAATCCCGACCCACCTCGGATAGGTCGTCGACACTCTTCTCACAGACCGCCAGGCGGGCCTCCACCTGAACAGCAAAAACGGCGTGAGACTGAAGCGTGCTGCTCGTTGGCTTGGGGTGATCTCCCTGTCTCTCCAGAATCGCCTCATCCATCCGCTTACCACAAGAGACCAGCACGTCAGCAACTTTGGCATCCACCTTCTTTCATGTGATTGCATGTGTTACACTGTTACCCTGGCTGCAGCATCGAAGGACCCCAACCAAAGCGCCTCGTCTAGCCTCTGAGTGAGGTCAAGGATGATGACCCTCGTCTTTTCCACCCACTCGGCATTGATTGCCAGAGCCGTCCTGACAGCGATGAAAGCTCGGCCCGGGCCCCGAGAGCAGAACAAAAAAAGGCAAAGACGGTCGCCGCCGGTGGGTCGCCCTCTGTCGTCCTCCTTCCTCCGAGTGCCTCCCGTCCCTCCTGGTCTTCCTCCTCTCCATTCGTGCGCTTCCAGGCTTTCAACCGCCGATTTGATGAGCACCAGTCATGCGGAGGCGTGATTTCCGGAAGGATGGGACTCGTGCAGTATTTAGTGCTACACCGACGGGACCGAATTTTCTGAACCCGGGGCATGAGCAACAAAGCATGCCCACAACCAAGAGGATAGATGACTTGTAACTGCGGCCTTTGATGTGACATTCCAACTGTCGCAGCGGTCGACGAAGCACGAGTATACTCCCTTTGGATACTTCAAGCTCGGACGATGCAAGCCAGCCTTGGCTGCATGCACACACGCGCGATTCCTGCATTTGCGTACGAAACTCAAAATTCTCGAAATCACAGCGCCAGCTAGCAAAACGAAATGTTTGAATTTGCGAAGTGAGTTCCTCTGAAACAGCACGGATTGGGAATGGAACATGTTAGGGCATGTCTCAGCATCCGCGGAGGCGAGGCTTATCCTCTTTGAATGGCTCGAATGCCGGCTGGCGAAACTCCGCATGCCGAAACATTGATCTTCGGTTCCCATGCGTGGCAGCAACTGCTCGACCTTCGCTTTAACATCGAACTAACTGGCTGATAGGGCGGGCGTGAAGCCGCAACGATGCTGAGAGACTGATGACAAGCAGTGGCACGGACTTTCGTTGCCGGCATGCACCCCTTCAACCCCGTTGCAGGGATGGTGCGTGAATCGAACTTCAACAACTGTTGGAACATCAATGCGGATGATGGTTGCGACTGAGGTGCGAGACGAACATCTGAGAGACAAAGAAGACTCTACATCGAGCCAAAGATGACAGAATGTGTAAAATCCAGGCAAGCCTTGGCTAGGAGAATGGCCAACTACCAGGTACTAGTTTACGTCGTTAGCCCAGGTACAGTATGATCTTTCCGATCATGTCTCCTCCTGAAATTGAAAGCTCTCTGTCTTCTTGGGGAAGCCATCTCCCACCAAACCAGGGAGACCCGTTTCTGCAGTGTGGTGGAACATTTTGATTCCCAGCATAGTTCAGAAGGGGGTCATCTCTCGCCAAATCTTTTTGGCTGCGATTCTCTTCTCTTCACTTCCCTGCTGAGGTCTACACGAATGCTCTTTCACCGTCTCCGTCAAGGTGTCCAACTCTGTCCTGTGTCTGAGCGAAGCCGGACTTACTTGGGGGTATTCGCGCATCTTTGGAGCTCCTCAGCGTCTGCACGAACTCTTCCAGGAACGTGACCCTTGCAGGAAGTCCAGAGGCCTCAGAAAACATCTCAGTCTTCGGCAAAAAGTCACCACAGCCACGGCGGCGCCTCTATTTCCTTCTGCACATCCGGTATCAGCTTAATATATTCCTGCGGCCGCAGGTCCAGCCAATACGCGACAGGCCCAGGTACACAGGAGGAATTCACTTGCAACCAGCCTCGCGCAGCTGTTTCACCAGAGTCCAGATCGACGTGTGCCGCTTCCACCGGCTCAGGAACTGGCAGACACTCAATCATTCACAACCCGGCTGATCACAGTTTTGCGGCCTGGTGTTGGCGTTTCTTTCCCACACGGGCGAGGGAGGCACAGAGCCACTGGATGCCAGTTCTCCTGATGGATTGCGGGTCGAAGCGGCATTTTCTAACTTGGCAGACAGCAGCAGGCACGTAAGATTTGTCACCAAAGATCCTGCGAAGACTTGTCCAAGTGTGCTGCTGCCATACTGTCATAAGGTCTTTCGCGATGGCCTGAATCTTTGCAGCCGTTTGACTAGACATGCGCTAGATTCCGTGACTTAAGCTTGCGGCAAGCTTGCGGCGCTCATCGTGCACCGCCCTTAGTGGATATGGTGATCATTGCGAGGGTAGTAGAGATCGAGACGTAAATGACAGTGTAAAGCTGAGGCGACGATGGTGACGATGGTGTTGACCATGATGATGGTGGTGGTGACGGTGATGATGCTGACGATGAACCTGATGAAGATGATGATGCTGACCAATAACTTGGCGGCGATGATGATAATGATGATGAGGATGATGAGGATGACAATGAAGTTGACGAAGACGCAGCGTGAGCATAGCAGCTTAGCAACCGCAAGCCGCTCACTTTCCGATCATTTCCGGCAGACATCAGGGCTCAAGCGCTACCAGCTGCGTCACATACTTGACGTGAGATCGACCTTCTCGCCTTCCAGGTTGCTACACAACCCTCCTCTGTCGTCTGTGTGCTCGGGTCATGAGAACATGTTGCGGGAGAGCTCAACCTGTTTCACAGCCTCACACTGGCTCCAAAGCTATTCAGAAAATCGCCCCGGCACATTGGCTGAGGCAAAGCCGGCAGTCGTCCGCCCTTCCACACCAGCTCCAAGAGGTCCACGAAGATCGCAATGCAGGGCGGATGCAGTCCGTGCCCGTCCAGACAGGAGAGCCAGCCAAGGGCAATGTGGTTCCACGTCTGTGGCGAAACCTAGGCAGGATGGTGCCGCAGGCTCTGCGAATGAGATTGCTCGTAACGCCTCGGCTGTCAGCAACACTTCACTCGCGTCACAAACCAGAACCTCCAAGATCCCTTCACCCTGATGGACGATGTTGACTGCAAGCCGAATCTCTCTGGCCTTGTCGGCAGAACGCAGACTCTTCCTCTGATGTCCTCACGGCTAGCTTCATCCCAAGTAGTGTTCCAAACGTGCCTAGTAGTGGCCGTAGTGACGTAGTGGTGGAAGTGAAAGTAGCCCGAGCAGTAGCAGTAGGAGGAGGACGAGTAGTAGTAGTAGTAGTAGTAGTAGTAGTAGTAGTAGTAGTAGTAGTAGTAGTAGTAGTAGTAGTAGTAGCAGTGGCACTGGTACTGGTACTGGTACTGGTACTGGTACTGGTAGTGGTGGTAGTGGTGGTAGTGGTGGTAGTGGTAGTAGTGGTGGTAGTGGTAGTAGTGGTAGTAGTGGTAGTGGTGGTAGTGGTGGTAGTAGTGGTAGTAGTGGT